TTGCTTCTTGACCAACTGAGTTCATGTTCATCTTTATTCCTTTGCTGTCACCCGAGATCTATAAATTTCAAGCTTTAAAGTTGCTATAAGAAAAGTAAAGACATTCATGGACTCCTGCATAACGCGTTTGCCATTTTTGATTCATCTTACGAATCCATCTTTGTCAGCCCGATGAATCCTAATGAAGCACAAATCTGTCACATTTACTCCACAATGAGGGCAGCTGGCAAACTTTCTCAGGAAAATGAAACTATTATCTTCAACTAGACACGCACAGGGCTCAATATAAATAAATAAAGTCACACTTATCTAGTGGCCAGCGTGATTACTGTAGCCAGCGCTGACATCCAAATTGACTGTCTTATCACCTTGAAGTGATTTCAGCTGAGTACAGACTGTAGATGAAAGCAAAATGATCTTTTAAATACTAGTTAAAGATGGCCGCTCGATAAGTTGTTCCACAACAGTTTTGATCAATGAAGCATGCATTCAATATATTGCCTATTTAGATATGTGAGATAAACTTAACTGGTCTTGTAAATGTTTCACAAATTGTGTTTCCTTCAGCACGAGGTAATGACTTCAAGGCCTCGTTGAATTCTTAATTTTAGGACATATTGTAATTGCTTCGGGAGAATTATGGCAAGTTTAAAAGACGTGTTTTGAACATATATATCTTGCAGTATTTTTTCAAATTAAAACTACATATATTCATATTATTATTTGAATATTATGATATTTAAAATATATACAATTATTCCATGTAAAGTGTCTATTAAATTACAAACACAAATGTTGACTGCTGGTCAAATAATTGAAAATGGACCTTTAGGTAATATTTCAGAAGAAAGCTTTGACTACTTCATGTCTTAAAGCCTATGAATTGAATTTGTTGTGCTCTCCCACGACAAAGCCTGTCAGGTTGGAGCTCCGGCTGTGGAAAATGTCAAAGCTATTTTCCTCTTTACTAGTCAATGCAATGCTTGTTTAATAGTAATTGGAATCTTATCCCGCTGTTTGCTCATCATTTCCAGCGCCTAGTTATTCCACACCTAAACTCCATTTAAGTTTTTAATAACATTTTAGAATAGTTCCCATTCAGGTAAACAGAATCTGATTACCTTGATGGATTGAAAATGTATGTCTGACGGTAGTTTATTTGATTTATTTATTCAGGGGACCTCAAATGGAGGGGACTTTAACCGAGGCAAACAAACGGTTTCCCATACCTCTCCCAAGAACACTGAAGTTTACAGAAACCTAGATTTTTATTTTCTCAGCCTGCTCGCTTCTCTTTTCGGCTGTGGAAAGCGAAAGGAAATAATGTTAGCTAGATCTGATGTGTTTATTCGAGACTTTTTTATTTTTTTGTTAGCATATTATTGTAGCTGCATAAACTAAAGAGGTAAGTCATTCCAGACAAAATCTCCACAATCTACCTGTTAAAGACACAAAAAAATGCTAAAAACTGAATACGTGTGCGCACCGTGCCAGAAGCCAATAAGCAAGACTCTAAAACTATTCTGTGATAGTTTTGGATTTCTCTCCCTCCATAAGCCTCTCATTGTGTTAGAGGACCTGCTTTGTACAAGTGCCTGCCAGCTGCTTACCAAATGAGGTTATAGTGTTTCCCTATCAACTGTAAATTTCAATAATTTGTTGGAGGGGCCTCTCACTGTCAGTTTTTATCATATTATCAATGACGACTCAATTTTCCTCTGCCACTCCATCTCAAGCACTGACCCCTGGCCCTATTACAGTCCTGTAATGAAGTGCAATGGAGTGGTAATTGGTCCACATTATACCAGATCAGGTAACATTAGACTTATTTTCTTATCACAATGAGCCCTGCTGGTGACTCTGAATGAGAAACCAAACACAGTTTCTTTCTTATGCAGGCTATCATCCAAATAACTTTTCAGCTAGAGACCCTTTCCCCATTTCAGTTTTCCATTTCAAGATTGCGCTGCCTGTCCTCAGACTGCGCTTTGTTTTCCCGCTTCCTCTATTTTAAAAGTCTCCCAAACAGCGTCTGAGGCAGTGCAGATATGAGGTAGAGCTTTCCCGAGATGGGGAAGTACAGTAAACGAGACGGTAACATGACCGTTATGTCTGCAATATTAGATGTACAGTGGTCTGCCTCCCCCTCACTCACTCCCCTCTGCTTCAGCATCCTATCTTGGAGTTCTTAGTGCTCTCTAACTCTGGTTCTGACTTCTTTAATGTTGTTTTATACATCTTTATGAACACTGAAAATTCAGTGTTCGAACTTTAAAAGTGTGCTGCCATTAATATTAAGTCTACGTTTCATCATTCATTAAAAAACAGCATATTGGAAATGCTAACTTTCCACCCAGGAGACAGATTATATAGATTTCACTGAAATCAGATGCAATTTGATATCAGTTTTCTTTTACCTATTGCAATAATTCATATTCCAAAAGTCTTTTAATTGATTAATGCATAAAATTAATTTAACTAAGAAGAAATTAATATGTTGTGTTTTCCTGTTAATGGTCAAGCACCCTGTTATTGTGAATCTATTGTAGACAGGGGTCAGACACACTGAAAAATTCACTGTTAGCTTGGTCAGTATTAAGCTGGTCTGACTTACTCAGTGCCAGTGCAGCAGAGTATCACTCGGCTGTTGGTCCACGTCTGAACTTTTGTGCTACGAGAGGCAGGTCTGTGCTGTGGCTGACGCACTCTCTCTAGCAGGGTTGCTCTTTGCGCTGAAAACACACACAGGACTAAAAAGACAGGATATTGGATAACAAGGTTAAAACATAAGAGCAAAAATATTCTCTTATTAAACTCAGGCTGCAGGGATTTGATTTGAGCCACCTAATAGATAGTGGTTTCAAGGGAGCCCAAACAAAAGGTAACGGGCCGGTCATGCTTATGGTAGCTAATGGCAGATTTAAAAGAAATTAGGGGACTCTTTTTCTACAGGAAATTGTACTTAAAGACGGGTCATGGATCACCCTGCTCTTCACCGGCAGCTTCAGAAGTCAGAAAGTGAACTTTTGCTGTGGCCATTATAAGGTCTGCATCGCAGGAAGAGGCTAGAGCTGAAATAAACCTGACCGTATTGTTGGAGAATAGCAGTGTGAATTGATTTTGTCAATGAAATAATGTCTAGACAGGTGAAGACACTCTTGCTGACTGATTCTGTAATTACAATTAAAGCAACAACTCAGTGTGACCTATTTGTATGTGGGTTGGCCACCCTAGAGCCTGAACCTCAGCAATATTAAAGCAATGTGGAGTCATATGGACTTTAAATCTTGTTAGTGTTGTACACACTCTTGTTTCTGCCTTCTACACTGAATTACTGTTTCTGTTTGCACATTTCAGTAAATACCTGAAAACCTGAAGTGTACCCTGCAACACTTTTAAGCATGCATGCAAGACGTTTTACAGGAAAAAAGAAAAACATTTAACTTCTATACATATCACCTGCATAATCTGTTGGGTCTCTTTTTGTTTGTGTAATTAACTCATTTTAATCTTATTTTTTAGAGGTCAGTGAATTCAGATTGCTGATACTGAATCATTGTTATCTCCACATTGGCAGTTCAAGGCCAGGTGCAGTTATTTTCACATCTATAAAATGTGGTGCATTACAAACAGTGAATATTTAGTCTGCAGCTGACCCCAGTCTATCTTAATAATAGTTTTTAAATCTTATGTGCATGTTTGTATAATGTGCCTCACATTTATTTATTTATGAAAATATACATAATTTCACATTTTTATTTTGGATTCACTGTCAAACTTTTTTTCAAATTGATCCACCAATGGTCTTATGACTGCAAATATCCCTGCCAAATAAGAAGCATATAGCAAATAAACATTATTGTTAAAGGCTCATACAGCTATTTATTTTATTTTTTTGATTGTCTGTATCTGGAAACTATCTCTATGACTTATGCCAAACTCACCACAGTCTTTTTAACCAAGTACATATCCATGCCTATAGGGAAAATGATAGGTGGACAACAATCTAATGTTAAGTTAGTGTCCTCTGCCCTCTAGTGGTTGTGTCAGTGTGGTACCATGTGTTGCAAATAGTTGACATTTATGAGGGAACTGAAACTTCAAATACTGAGTAACAGTTACACCAAACATGTGATTCATTATGATCAGTGACTGATTCACGTTTGTCATGTGCTTTCTGTTTTACTTAAGAAATATTTAGCATGTGGCTGTATGAGGATGTACCCTGTGTGTGTCAGCATTTGAGCGCACAAGTAATTTTGTAAGGCTGAATTGTGTTAGAACTTCACATTCATCCTTCACATGTCTGTGTAATGACGCCAGCAATGAAAGCTTTCAGTTTTGCACTTTCAGTGTTGCTTTAAGGTGTCACAGCATCACAGAACAACACATTTTTAAGGTGTGCATCACTTTTTGCAGAAGTTGTCACTTTAGTCTTATGCATGTTAAAGTTAACTGCAACACAGAAACGATGTGTTTACAGTAGTAAGTCTTACTAGTAAGTAAGTTTTATTGGCCACAAATGTATAGCTACTCTTTTGAGGTAAGCATGTTCATTTATAAGAACTGTAATTTTACACAATCACTCTGACCTTAAAACTCTCTAGATAGACAGCACCTTGGTAAGGAAGTGAAAAAACAGAAGAAGGATGTGGCTCATAACAGGTGAATTGATGTTTTCCTGTGTGTGTTTGTGTGCGTGTGCGTTTGTGTGCGTGGGTGTACAGTCTTCGCGAAAACCAAGAACAAAGGCGAATCTAAAGCGTCGCCTACATAAAAGACATCAAGTGGTTTTGTGTCGTTTCTGCACGTCGCAAAATTCAACACATCAAGTTCTTAGCTAAGCCCTCGTTATCTTCATTTGTGTTTCATCTATAGAATATTTTGCTGTTTACAACATACAGATATACACAAAGCAGCCAAAAACAAATGTAACTGCCGACATGTTGCACATTCTGTCATGACAGTGGTGCGTTTCTCACTTCTTCAACTGTTTCAGGAAGTAGGGCAGAGTCACCAAAATCAGGAAACTAAGTGTTGCTATTAATACTGCTGAGCAACGAGCTGTAGCTGGTGAAAGCTAATGTAGTCTCAGCTGATGAGAAGAGAAGCATCAGTAAACTTCATCGAACTGAAGAGAAACATTTGGGCAAATGATGATCCTTTTGAGGTGATTTATTTATTTGATTTGAGGCTTCAAGACCATGGGAGAACCCATCTCAAGCACTGAATCAGGTAATACGACCCGTCGTGTGTACCTTTTTTTTCACCAGCTAGTTAGTGCTACAGTTTACAAGATGTACTGAAACCTTCATTATTAACACATAGTTTACTCTTTTGCATTGTTTGACTTTGAAATGATGTGTTCATTTAAATTGAGTTTCATTTACCAGAAAATTCAAGGCAAACTGTTTTCTCCGCTTTAAAAAGAGGAAGCAAGCATCTTAGGCATCCTGTATGGTTGATTTGAATTAATGTAGTATTTCCAACACATGTAAAGTTAAATCATTCATGTTATCGGTCCTTTAATAAAACGATGTAAGGGCTCACTGCCCTGTCATTAGTGAGCTGCTCCGATGAAGCGAATGCTTGTGTGGGTGCTCTTTCCTAGGTAGCGTGTACAGAGGTGAGCTTGACCTGATTAAACACTGTAATGAGTCAAACAAAATTACTCTGACCAGTGTTGACACAGCGCAATGTTTGCACAACGTCTTGTTGGCTCTGCAGTGAAATATCAAACAGATCAGACATTCATTCCCCAGCCACAGTCACCTTGACATTCCACAGCCGGACAGCTGGTACGTTGTGGAGCATTTCCACGGCAATCACAATCTGCAGCAACAAGGAACTCAGCACATAATATTGCTAGTGTCATGTCATTAGTGTATTTTGAGCAGAACGTTGATTCACTGTGTGCAGTCAGGCTGGGTCAGTAGGTTTTATGCTTTGGATACCTGCTTTGGAGAGTGTTTGCATACATCTCTTGAGCGTACAATCACACTGTAATGCGTTGTGTTTTTCAGCACATCCTGAATCCTTCTCAAGATATGAGCTGTTAATTCTGCACACCACTGAGGCACAGGAATGGGCGTCATATTTGCACCAGATTTTGAAAAGTTCTCGCAAATTCCACAAAAGATCAATTTTGCTATATGCAATCAGCACAGCCGATGAGCTCCACGGATATAATTTTGAATATTTCCAAAGCTGCAAGAGCATCGTGCTGCTCCTCACAGGGGTTTTCCTTGACATCCTCTGTGACCACGAACTACAGGAGGCACTTCAGAGAATTCTCTATCCTCCTCACCGAGTGGTGGCCTTTTTATGTGGTGTGTCTGAGGACGAACTATTGACAAAGATTTTCCAAGACTGGCCAAGCTGGAGGAAGCTCTACGCAGAGGATGAGCCTGGTGTTTATGTTTCTACCATTTTGGAAGCAATAGCCAACAGTATGTAAAATGTTCTCTTTTGTACAGTGTTTTCGATGCCCAGGAAGCAAACATAATTAATTCAGTTTTTACTGCACCCACAAAGAATAGGATATTAAATAAAATAACAATTGTCAGTTATCTTAAAGCTGGAACATAAAACCGAAACTCTCAGTGAGAAAGTTGGATGTGCTGTAGTGACACTTTCTGAATAACTAAAAGAAGGCGATTTCAACTAGACAGATGTTAAAATTGTGCAATTTGTAGAAATTTAAAGGGAAAATAAAGATGTTTGTAATACATTCGATTTCTTTTTAATTTAAAGGCAGAAGAGTGGAGCTTGAACGTGAGAGTGAAGTTCCTGTAGCCCTAGACGATGTGTACGTCTTACCAGTTTTAGATGAAAATCCTAGCACCGATGAAACAGAGGATGTGGTGACAAAAGAGTATGAAGAAAATGTCCCGAAGGATGAAGAGCCTGCAAACGCAGTAATATCAGCAAGTCAGGAAATAACTTCACCCACGCACATCACCTGTCTCACTGTGCAACCAAACAGAGTTCTGTGCGGGGTAAGTAATTGCACAAGAGCTGCATCAAATGTAATGTTTGTTTGGTTCATTGAAATAAATCCAGTTTTCTGTATTACATTATATGACAGGTACACAGAGATACATTTACCATTTACACTGATCTTCTAGTGTTTAGCGGAGCTAAAGGAAGTTCTTGATATCAGTAAAATGTCACCAACATGCCAATTTTATTCCAGTTTTCCATTTTTCTTTTAGAAACAGGAGACACTTTTTATCATTTTCAAAGAGAAAATAGATGATCAGTCGGATCCAGAGGTGGAGTTTTCATCTGAAAATGTACCTGCAAAAAGGGTGCCAGGCACCGTGGAGAATGAATACACCATAAGTGTTACTGCACCTGGCAAGTATCTGTAGGAAGTCACAGGACTTTTATGCTGAAAGCTTTAATCTGAAATCACCGTAATTGTTAATTTGCTCTTTATTTTCATTTAGATATGCATGCTGGAATTGTGTCCCTCACTATGTACACTGGCCAGTCGTCTGTCAGCCTGACTCCTGTTACGTATTACACCAGCATGGGTGAAGTCAGTCGGTATCTTGAAAATGCTACAGATCCTGTTAACTTCATCTGCCAGGTGAGACATTATTTAGCACTTTAAATAGCATCGTTGTGCTAGATTAATGTTGTAAAAGCTTGTGTAAGCTTTATTTATTTATTTTGAACATCCAGGCATTCAACATAACAGCCAATGCAACAGAATCACTGGACAGCATGTTGTCCGACTGTTTAAAATCCAAGATCCCTTCAACTGGTCTTCAGCTGTTTGGAATCAGACAGATTGAGGAAGACAATATGTCAGCATGTAAGTTTAACACATGATTTTATTGGTGTTGGGCGAGTCAGCTAAAAAAATTTGTAGAAGACTTCCTGTTATCGCACATACATTATATGGTGAAAAGTTCTGGGCCACCTACATGTTACACTTACAGGAGGTGCTCGGTCATGGAAACCCACCCATAAAGCTCCTGGCGCAGTTTGTGGCCAGATATTAATGCCAGTGGAGGCTTGGAACTTACCGCTACTCACCGCTGCTTTAGATAGCTACAAAAGTTGGTGACTTCTATACACCGTAGGCCTTAGCTCTCAGCCACCCTGCTCTACATCTTTACCTGGTCCACCACTTTGAGGCGAATTTGCTGTGGTTCCCAAATACTTCCACTTTGCAATAACACCATTAACAGTTCTCATTTAAATTCAAAGATTATGATAAAAAGCAGAAAGTGTGAGCAGCTGATATATAACTGGTTCTATCTGTTTGCCTTTTTGTGGGCTTCAGATCAGCGGAATGAGGAGCTTCCTACTTTACTCCACTTTGCAGCCAAGTATGGCCTGAAGAAGCTGACCACCGTTCTGCTTCAGTGTCCTGGAGCTTTGCAGGCTTACAGTGTGATGAACAAGAATGGAGACTACCCAAACACGCTGGCAGAGAAGAGTGGTTTTAATGATCTCAGGCAGTTCATGGATGAATTTGTTGTAAGTCCACAGAGAAAATCTTTTCAATTCTTTGCATTTTCACGAATTGTACTTAGCGTCTGGTTGTCTTTTGCATTTAAACAAATCCAGGAGACTGCAGATTTGCTCAAGTGTCACTTTGAGGACACTATCAACACAGACGAGAGTGCAGAGGTATATGAGTTGATGTCCACTAACTCTCAAGATATCATGATGAAATACTCGGGTTGCTCAGAGGATATATATGAGTCGATGGTGGGGATCAACCCTGAATGTGCAGAGGATTTTTGTAAGTATCGCATTATTTTATTTATTGTTCCAACAATAATTCATACAGCAAAACTGGGAGCAGCAGATGATGATGGTGCTGTATTGTTTCTTTCTGGTGGGGGTTTCAAGATGAGGTGATGACTGCAGTAGATGAGAACCCTGAGGAAGCTATGCTTCGGAAGTTCTTTCAAGGTATACATTTGAAGTTTTAAATAATTTCCTTAAATAATATTGCATCCTATATGGCATTGAGTGCTTCATGTGGTTACACTCTTACCTTTAGCAAAACCAAATGCCACTGAAGTCAAGAAGGACAATGAACCTCTTCAAAGTGAGGAAGAGGAAAAAGTTGATCATAATAGCTTAGATGAAATTGAGGAAGAGGAAGACCCATACAACCTCTGTCCAGAGGATATCTATGATACTGTGGATGCAAATAGTACTTACAACCCAGTAGTCCTGAACCGTCCACCAGCCCCCATCCCCAGGCCTGAGCAAAACACTGAGCTTGAAAAGTCTACGACATACATTTCTAGAGGTATGGTGCAGTCTGATTTTTATTTATTACGTTATATTTTTTTATATCACAAATGTGTCAAAAATATGTAACTTTTATTTTTTTGATAGTATTTTCAGATAAAGGTACATCTGAGAATAAAGCAAAGGACATGGGATATCATGCAGGTAAATCCCAATAAAAATAATTTTCTTTTCATTTAATCATTATAGTCTGTTATGCTTCTGTTTTCTCTTTTTTTCCCACTTATATAAAGCTAGTTTAGAACTGGTCATGGTTTCATTTGGTAAACCGCTTTTGAAAAAGTGCCTTTATTTTATCGGCATCTTGATTACTTATCATCAGTCTTGTACAGTGCTGTAGCATGTTTCTGTGAGGCACAGGGCTTTTAATACTACCACATTGGTCAAAACCAGTAACCTTTGTAGTTGACTCAGTGGTTACAGCTAACTGTGCGTTGGGGGAATTTTTGGTGTCAGAGTGGGTAGGTGACTGAGAACAAATGTTCATGTGATCTTCTGACATTAATAGGCCCTTTTCACAGCAGACACTTAAATGTGATACGAGAAGAGCAAAAATGTACGTGGCCCGTACGGCAGAAGCGTTCTTGTTTTTCGCTCCTCATTTGAATATTTAACTTTAAATGGTAAAAATGAAAGTGAAGTTGAAACCTTGAGCAAACCCCAGCTGACAGGAAGTAAGGTGCAGCCTGGACTAGTTACCAGTTCATTGCACATTTACAGCCAGCTTAGAGTTGCCTATTTACATAACATGTGTGTATCTGGTAGCCCCCAGAGGCTCTGGGCGCTCATACAGACACAGGAAGAACATGTAAAGTCTGAATCCTGAACTTTCTTGCAGTGAGGCAACAGTCCACTACTGTCACTGACATGTCAATTACATCCTCTGGTATTATCATCTTGTATTATTATACTGCATTAGGATTGGTTAGCTGTGTGCACTGATTATGGGTCTGATTTTAAACTGGTTTGCTCATCATAAATAAAAATACAGTACTGTTATTGAACTATTGTCATCAACACATAACAAGAGGTCTTATTTTAGTTTTTGTGATTTTTTAGTTTTTAGGATTTAGTAGTTGTTTATATTTACATCAGAAATGTAAAGACATTTAAAATTTAAAATAATAAAAAATATTAGTGCGCTTGCTCTCGCACCCATATTACCATTATACATCAAACTATTGTAAGACTTTCATGAAACGAATACAATATTTTATGTTCCAAAGGTTTTTGCTTATAAATTAATAATAGAATAAATTATACACTATTTTCCTCCCATTCAGCTCGGCCTGTAGTGGAAGCCCCCACGCCTGCATATGATCCTTACGCTGGGATGAAGACCCCTGGGCAGAGGCAGCTCATATCTCTGCAAGAGAGGGTAAAAGTAGGAGAAATTACTGTGGACGAAGCAGTCCAAGAGTTTAAGGCTTGGCAGGTTGATCATGAGCGGAGGGCAAACTCCATACGCTATCAGCAGGTAGATCTAATGTTCAAACTTTTCTAAGGAGTTGATTGTTGGTTAAGCAATAAAAGTAATGCCTGTGTTTCCTTTTTCTTACTTGAGAAAAATCTGGAGACATTACGAAACAGCATCACCAGACGTCATAAAGAGAGAGAGAAGACAGGAAAGGAACTTGGTAAAATTATTTATGTTCTCATTTGGAATCAGATCAGGTTCACGCAGATTTAACACATTGTATACCTTCCACTGTTTATACGCTGATTATGTAATACTGTTAGGATTCATTGGTGAGAAACACATATTGAAAAATAGCATGCCATTGCTGTCAAAAAAGCTTATCTTTTTAATCTGGTCTTTTCCCGTAGAGTATGAGATAAGTGCACCCCTTCAGAGAAACTCATTCTGGGGCACTAATGTGACATTAGAGTGTGCTGTGTATGAGTCGACACCCAGAGCGACAGCTCAGCCTCCTCCTGTGGCTCAGGTTATCCAGAGAGGCAGCTGGAAGACAGGTAGCACATCCAGCACATCGAGTGAGTCCAAATGCTTATCTTTACTTTCTGCTTTTATCAAGTACTAAACAAAAAGACTTAAAGCTTTCAGTCTTTCTTTGTGTGGCTTTCTTTGCAACTCCATTAGAGTGCAGATTGGGAGAAATGTAAATTATACACATATGTAAGTCACTGAAAAAGTGATGTGCTTGTAGTCTGACTTCCTGCCTCCACTTTTGAGTTGGAGAGAGAGGTACGTTTGAGCGCCAGATCTGATCATTCTGTCTTTTCTATGCGTCAATTTTAGCTGTGGTTCAAGGAAAAAGTGCTAGATGGGATCATTAGAATATTCACATGGATGGTACGAGACAGTGTTACTAATAAACCAGCGTTTAATTAGATCTTGGACAGAGCAGACCTTGCTGAAAAATTATTTATATCAAAACAGAAATTCAACACATCAGTCACAGTTTTTCAAAGAAAAGAAAGGGTGCCGTGTTTGCTCAGTGGGTAAGCAGGCAACCACTTGCTGCACAGCAAGAGAGCCGCGGCGCGGGTTTGAGTCCGACCCGTGGCCCTGCTGTGTGTTTTCTCCTGTTGCGGGCAAATAAAGGCAAAATTTATTTTAGTCTCACATTTTTTTTAAATCTTAATTGAGATCTCATTTTAAAAGTTTTCAATAAAAAAGCAAGAAATAAAGTAGTCAGATTATAGCTTGAAATATTAGGTAATTGTAATAAACAGACTTTTTCTGTATGATAAAGTTACATGACTCTAGTGATTTTGTTACTGCTTAATGTTACTTAATGTTCTCGAATGTCAGTGTATGTATTTTATTTTACTTTGTTATTATTATTTCCCATCTTTGTAGTTTTGTTATACATAAAGGATGAGACGTTTTGTGAAACTTTATTTGTGTTTTTACACGTCGCACCAGCAGTTATAATTCAGTCATAATGTTTTACGAAGAAAACCATTTTTTAGTTTGTTTAATTAGCCCACAAATGCAAAAGTATTTTAAGGTTTAAATTAATGTTTAATTTTGCTGTAGTAGATGTTTTATTCTTCTGGGGTTTTTTTAAAAAAAAAAGCAAACATTTGCACATAAATTTCAAAAAGGGGCAAGCAGTTTCCTTTCAAAAACACTGATAACATTAACGGATTTAAAGAATGGCTTGCTATGCTGCTTCATGATTACTTTAAGTCTGTAATGGTGGTATGCATATGAGCTGCGTCTCTGTCTTGCTCTGATTGTTCATACACCTTCTTGCAGACATCTTGTATAATAGTGTCAAGGCCTAAAACATATTTTACCCACATTTAGCGAAGTGGTCTTACAACATAATTCACCACAAGCACTAACCTCAGAGATACTCGGAATCACGTGTTTTATTTTTGCTGTGCTTCTTCTTGTCATCAGGCACCGAAAGCAACAGACTCAGCACGCACAGCACCTTTAGCTACAGCAGCGGTACAGAACCTGACGAGGTGAGCTTGATTTAACAATAGGTACAAGTGCATCTTCAAGGCACGTGGAAACTGAAGGGTTCACACAGAAATGCATTTGCATGAGTTATAGCTAGCTGTTTCTTCTTTCTTACTCTTTATAACCCAAATTAAAACTTCCCTTTCTCTTATGATGCTGCATGTGTCTGATGTCTATACAACATGACTGCATGCGCAGTAGAGAGGTAGAAAAAAAGAGGTAGAAAGTCTAGTGTTTAGTTTTGTTTTATTTTGATCTCTTACTTCAGCTTTTCATTTCCTAAAATACCTTCCAGACAATATTTAAATGTAAGTTCTGTAAATGTGTGTTCTTTACTGAAGCAGATTCAATATCATTTTCATTAGCGTTTACTGTCTGTCACCATGATTGAAGAAAAAGTACAGAGCTGAAGGAGATTTGGGGCACGGGCAGACAAAGAATCTCTTAGATTTTGGTGCAAATTCTGTCCTTCTTTTAATTGCAAGATGGGTAAGATGAGTATTCCCTGTCTGTTGTTAAAAGACTCAAACTGCACGACCCATCGTGGAAGCCTGACTGACACTGCTTAATGACTTCCTCAGGGTGTAATTAAAACAATGATCTTTTATTCTCCAGACCAACAAAACAACAACTGTCATCTTTGTGTGTTTAGCTGAAAATTTGGGAGTTCTTGACAGTTTCAGTAGATGAATTGCTTAAACCAATAACTGTGACAATGTTAGCTTTTTCATTAACTGACTCAGCTGTTAAACTACAGCTTTAGGCTGTTTTATTTTGAAGTATTTCAAGTGTGGCCACATATATATGTCATTGTATTTTTAAAGGACTCAATAGAAAGTTTCCCTCCTCCACCACGACCGCCACGGCCAGGCAGTGCTGCACCTTCCATTCCTCCACCCAGGATTCCTCCACGGAACCCAGAAAGGTCAGTCTAGAGAACAGCGATTCAGATTATTGAAGTGAAAGCAGAACCATGCAGTACTGAGCACTATGCGACATCAGGTATAGGAAAAAACAATGCAAAGTAGCAAATACACTGTACGGTTATGTGACAGTGCCTAGCAGCAATCATAACTGTGTTAGAATATGACAGAAAGACTGGGAGCACGTAAAAAAAAATCTATAAGCAGCACTGAGTGAAACAGAAAAATGTAAAAGAGGAAATGTTCACCCACCACTAATTCGCAGCTGTGCGTTTCAGAGGAAGCCAGAGCGAGAAAGTGATCAAGATACTGATGCTTATACTCTGTAAACACACAAATAACTTCCACACACGTAGGTGAGACCACTTATAGTGAGACCACTTAAAAATGAAAAAGATGAAAGTGACTGAAGTGGGTAGCAAGAGCTGCCGTAAATTCCTGAGAACCTGCGAAACGCTGCAGATCCTTTTTACTGATAAATGCCCTTCTGTGTCTCTTATCTCTTTCAAAAAAAGAATCTGGGTAGCAGTACAATGTATTTCTACAATCTGATAAACAATCAGCTTCTTTAGCTTTCTGACATGATGTTATAGTATATATTATATTATACTTTAAATATCTGCATAATACTTCTCATTCATACAGTAATTGTGTGTGATGAGTTTTAATTACTATTAGTGGGTAAATACAACATTTGTGTGCTGTTAAAAAAAAAGACTCAAGAGTTAGCAAAATTGCTTTAAGTACACAGAATTTTAAGTAATTTGACATCCACAGACTGACATTAAATTATTCAGTTTTTAAAGAATAAATAACAGAAATGAACAAACACCTACACCAAGTATGTATGAGCTGCTACATAGAGTATACTAAATTCTTCGTGCGTGGGTTCAATTTGTTCTCATTGCATGGCACTGTGATCTTATCTAGAGTTTTTCTTAGCATCTGTGTGTCTGAAGGTTAAAAGATCAAAAAGATATTTGTCTTGGGAACGTGTAAATGAGAAGTTACAGTATGAAGGGTGATGGAGTGCAAAGTGTTTGAATATAAACAACCAAATGAACTTAGTAAATTGATACAAACGTGCAACAGCTTAACTTGTGTGTGCGCTAACATTAGCTAACATTAGCTAACTTTAGCTAACTTTAGCTAAAAACGTAGCTAAATGTAAACTGCTTAATGTTTCTTTAATGGGCTGTAACTTAAAGAATTATTGATTTCATTAAAAATATTAATAATTCAGTTTATTATTCCACCTACATAACTGAATAAGATGATGACTAAATTCAGTAATGATAGAAAAAAATAACATGCTTTGACATTAACTAACTTTGCATAAGAGCTGTGACCACTATCAGAGAGTTCATGTACTGTAGTTCCTAAAACATGCAGTTTGTTAAAGTATTGAAATCTATTTTAAACCAGTGAATGAGTGATTCTTGTACAGTTCATATTTCCTGAATGTAGGGTGTCAGATAAGTAAATGATACAGAACTGTGTCTGAAATGTAATCTTTGCATCTTCTTTTCAAGTTTTGTTTTTTTTCTCACGCATAATTATAAGAAATTAAACGTCACAGTTTACACACCCTTTGCTGTATACCGTCTCTACTGTTACAGTGCAAATAACCTTCCTATACAGTAACAGTGTGTTTCCTGCAGGGTGACAGAGATGGTCCATGAGCGTTACATATCCTGCCCGACACGAATACTTCCTCAAAGACCTTCTTACAGGCCAACTGACTCAGCACCTCCTGTACCTCGCAGACATCGATGAGAGCCGCACATCTTCAATTTTACTGAATTTGATCTCTCAAGTTGTAAGTTATTTATTGTGTAAGAGGGATAGAGAAGGTAACGTGTAGCTGTAAACAACCATCAGGTTTAGCAAGATGAACTCATGCAGAGTAATAGTTATATATTATTTAATTTTTTTTCTTTCTCATGTATGAGTCCACCGAACCAAAACATCCATTTCTCATGACTGTGCCTGTGATCCATGTGTGATATGTTTCCGCTGTATTTGCTATGGTATGTCTTTACTGTAAAAAATATCGTAAAAGTAAGTTTGTAGTTGTAAATAAATGTGAGATTTTCAAAGAATATAATTGCAATAAATATTAAGTGTCCTAATGAAAATCATAATAGTAGTATTAATAGTAGGCGTATTAATTTCTTTTTGTTATGGGTTTAAATTTTGATATATTAGAATAGCAAACATTTGTTTTTCTTGATATTCTAATTATAATATTTCAGTGTGTTCAATCTCCTGTTGTGTAATTTAACTGAAAAGTGACATTAATGCTGCTCCGTTTACCAGATAAATATGTGATATTTTTGCCTGTGCTAATTATGAGTTTTGTGGTATTCTACTTACTTTACCTGAATTCCCGTTACCCACCAACAGCTTAGTGACTTACAGTTTAGCTGTGATGTTTGTACAGTATCATTCTTAAACTGAGTCATGAATGTTGTGGGGAAAGACAGTTTTGTTGTCTAACAGACCTTATGTAATTTTTTAAACATGACAAAATGGTGATTAAAAAAATACATGTTTTAGCTGGGTAAGTACAACGCAGCCGCTGTTCATTTATTAAGCTGTGATATACCATTTGATCACTGGATGGTGCTTCACATCTTCTGTTACCCTCTAAAGGTATACTTCAGCTTATATTTACATATTTTTTATGTATGTAAAAACCTTTTACTTGATATTATCAAATGAGTCAAATTAACATAGTGTTATGAATATAAATGAACCCTAAAATAGATCCTTTTAAATGCTTTGAGGAGAGAAAGGTACAAAGTGCGATGGAGTGTAGACAGCTGGGACTTCTGGCCGAAACTTTCAAAGTAAAATCTTTACTGTTGTAAAAACGTCAAATACAGTACTCTACAAAAGTATTAAGCCACCCCTACAGCAACTGGCTGCCCTATTATTATGCTGAGCTTACAACTGTTTAACTTATTCCATAATAAACTGTATTTGTAGCAGGTGGATAACAGTAGTGAATATTAATATTATTCTACTATTAACAGCGTAGTTATTTGGTGATTTATTTATTTTTATTGATGATGACTGATAGTTACATAGTACTATGCAAAAGTCTTGAGAACATCCCTTATTTTCTAATCTTTTGCTAGAAAAATGGGAATTAAAAGTCTTTAAAGTCATTTATTGAGGCATACACATTTAGACAATTCTAATTAGTTTCAAAGTTAATATTCAATATTCAATATGACAATGTTTATTCTTCAATGCTGCTGGAAATCCCTTATACGAGCTTTCTAGTCATAGTCTTCAGGAATAGTTCAAAGCTCTCCTTTGGATGTTGTCTCTTTTGTTCTTTTCTCAGACTAAATGATCCCACACTGCTTCTGTAATGTTGTGCTCCGGGCTCTGTCGAGGCCAATCCATCAATCCATAAAGGAATTAAATAGAAAGGTGGATAAATAGCTAGATCTATCCAGATGCTTAATATTTCCCAGCTATCTACCCAGCGCAACAGACTTACAAAGTCAGCAGTTGAACTTTTTTCTTCCCCCTTTTTGTTAATTCCGTTTCGAAGCGACCAGCTTCAGGCTTTTATTGTGAAAGGAGAGGTCTTCGCGCTCGGTGGGCGAGCAGTGCGCCGGTGTTGACGCAGTTGAAACCAGTGAGTGTGAAGCGCTGACAGGACGCTGGTGGAGAGCAGCTGTCGCAAAGAGCTCAGTGAAGTGTGTCTGTCTGCATCAGCGAGCACAACGCTGGATTACCATCACAGAGAGGTGAGCGTACCTGCTCGTTACAGCTGCACTTCTCTGAAGCCCTTCTTTAAGATTTTCTCTTAAAAGAAAGGTTTTTATTATCAGGGCATGAACAGTTTATTTTTATTTCCCACTGGCTCTGTTAACAGCTGACTTGAGAGTTGTTAAGGTGTGATGCAAAGCCAGTACTGCATAATGTATTTCATATTAATTACAGAGTCTGCTACGTGAGTTTATCAATGGTTAGCAAATATGAATGCTTCTGTGAGTCAGTCGGTTTTGATTTTGCATCTCAGCAGATGGGGGCTCTGGCTGTGGGACAGTTGCTGCAGTAAAGGCAGATCCATACAGTGGGAATGCGTCCCGCCATGGGTGCCGCACTCTGTAGCTGAATGCGAGAAGAAAAAACCTAAATCCTTAATCTGAAAATTAAAGGATTGCTGTCTGTATAACACTGCTGAATAACATTTGTGTATCTATTTATTTATTTTAAGACAAATCCGATCCCGCGCGTTGGTTTCTTTAAGTTGGACGGCGGCGGTTGTCAATGTGAGTCATAGGGGGCAGACTTCAGGCTACTCTACATGCATACAGTAGGGCTGTGACATCAAGACCATCCACTTAATGGAATGCATATTATGCGGCATGGAGATGTTGGGAGCTGTTCACTGTACAGTGTGATCAAACTAAACTGTCACCTCTGTCATCTTTATTTTGGAGATATTCTTGATAGGAGGTTGATTTGGTAGGACCGTTATCATTTTCCACTCCTTATTCCAGGGACATCTTTGTGAGCATGACTAACTTAGCACCTGTGTTATGTAACTGCACAATATTAAAAGTGTGGGTGTTCTTTGTGTTGACACAAGGACCTGAATGTTGGGCTATATGTCAAACAGGTCTGTCTGAAGACTCACACTGAACAGCATGTGATATGAACAACTGCTTGGCGGCACAACTGTGGCCACACACAGACTCACAGACTGTAACAAACACCTCCGTCTTGCCCACATCTTAACTGGGATTTTCTCTTAGTCCCACTAAACATGCCACTGGGAAGGATTGTATGAAGGCAAAACTGACATTGGTCACTATGGTTGTAATTTTTTATAATATGCATTTTTCATTGTTGCTGTTATGGAATTCTAAGGAATTACAGAGGCATCTTTGCGTGATGTCTACCTGGAAAACAATCCTGCCGTTTCCTATTTTAACTGAAGATCTAAGATTGGAGCTTTCTATAATACATAAGACGCCTACTTGTGAAACTCTACAGATCCCCCGCCTCAGTCTTCATTCACATTTTTACCCCCGAGTAACATGAGTCTAAACAGGCGTGATAAAATATTAACCCTTGCACAAATAATTCATCAAACCGCTCCAAGGACAGGGGGAAAGTATTCAGACGGATTTTACTCCAAACCACCTGTTTCAGTGTTTTGCTGTGTAGCTGCCACGCTCTGGAAATAACCCAGTCACTTGTGTTCGTCTTATCATGTGGACTTGTTGGACGTGGTTAATGGAGATATTCAGTTATCTAAGCGTTGTTTACATAGAAAGATCAGGAAATCCATTAGCTTCCCACATGTCCTTACTACAAGTACAACAAAGACTTCTGGTTTACCAGATGTCAGTAGAGGACCTGTGGCTGTTTACACAGGGATTTTGATAGGTGTGTACATATAACACATCAGTCACATGTTTGGTAGCAGCTCACCCAGGAGCCATTTACTTAGGCAGGGAGCATACCCTTATGACATTTTGCAGGTTCTGTTGTGCATTTAAAGCAAGGTGAAAGTGATCTATGTGAAGGAAAATGTTTGTTATGTTCTGAAAGATTGAACACATGACTTTTTCTTCAACAGTAAATTTGGATGATTTGCAAAGGAATGCTTTCCCTCCTCGACTTAAAACATATATATGTATATATATGTATAGATACAGTGATTCATCAGGTGTTTTAGTGTATCTAAACAGGAGGATAGAGTGCACAGTTCAAATAATATTCAAACAGTGTGTAAAGTTTGCAGCCTGCATTAATTTTAGCTGCAACGTGTATGCTTGAATTTTTCCATTTGCAGAATAGCATCCACCACCGAGGTGCACATCGTGTTTCTGTATCCAAAAAAGCCGATACAGAACTGATTGATCTGCACAACAAACAGCTGCCTGATCTGTGCAACTTGTTGAGCACGGGGCTCTTTGTTTACCATGAACCCAGCGCGGTTGTTAATATTTTATGACGAGTCACGTTACACAGTTCCCCTAGATTTGAGAGGAGCGATCCTCGGAAACATGAATCTCAAAACTGAATTTTAAAGATTTGCCAAAGCCAGCTGGCCTGGGGAATATCATAGTCTTGTTTTTCCATGATGATCTCCATGTGGTTTGGAAATCAGACAGACAACTAGTCACAATATGTTTTGTTTTTTCATTCAAGTCCAATTACCCCTTTGGTCATGCAGTCTCCTCAGAATTTATTTGCATTGCCAAAGTGTGGATAATTTAGCTTTTGCTGTTGTTTACATAGGTGGATACTGTCGCTGTGTTGTAGGCCTACTGTACCCACCTGTTCAGAGTGATATATGTAGTTATATATGTACTACTATTTTTACTGGATATTGGAAGAATAATGAAATGATAGTATTTCCTTGTTGAGACATACTTTTTTAGGATCACTTGTTTTAATTAGCTGCGGTTTATGTACACCAGCTGTGTGGTGACGCTGGATATTTGCATGACTTGAACAGAAAGCTTTGTAGTGGCAGCATTTGTAGAGAACAGCCTTCGCTTTACTGGGAATAATGGATGGCTTTGGATCAGGCCGGATGTTTCAGCCAGACACCAGGTTTCTGTTTTCACTCCTTGTTAATGTTACAACAGGTTGCTTGGCAACCCCCACCCCCCACCACCGAACCCCCTGTCTGCTTTCACCGTCTCCTGCCATTGGATGAAGTGGATGGGGAAATGAAGTGTTATGCGTTGGCTTTTCAAGGTCGGTGGTGCACAGAACCCCCGCCCTGATCACGGATGCACGTAAACAAAACCGTGAAAAGATCATTTATGCTTTGGTGATAGATTTAAGCAGCGCCCGCCTCCACTGCCGTCACAAGCACCACACGTCCCACACCAACCCCCAACCCACCCATGTCAGCGCTGATGGAAAACACCAGCATCGCAGCATTTGCTGGCAGATAGTTTAATGAGAATCAGCAGACGTCTTGACTAAAAATCTCACAGACCAATCCAGAATTCTCAAGTGACACTTGTACGCCACAGCTTTCTCAATCGCTCACTGCAACATGTAACAAAGAGTAAGGACCATCTAATATTTTGCCACCACCTGTGAAGCGGGGCTGTTACAGACAGTGCTGCCTGCCTCTGTTTCTGGGTGTGACGGGGACGAGTCAGGCTGCACCGGCATTCCTGAAATAGATGGATGATGGGGACCAGTTGGAGTCCTGCTGCACGCTCATTTCACACGAGGATGCCTTCATAGCACTTAAAATTGCTGGATTATCGCATCGCTGTTTATATTCACGTTTAGCCGCCATATCCTATGACTCAATTATCAAGTAGTGCTGTCACATAGGCGCTCGGAGAGTTATATTAGGGAACACGCTCAGAGCTTCCAGTCCCTGTCAGAGTCCAAACATTCAGCGGAGATGAGGAAACACTTTGAGCGCACTCCGTGACAATGATTTGAATTGTCAGCGCCGCTCACCTAATGTGCAAGTACCTCCCATTATCTAAGCCGGGAGGAATCTGTTGTGCACAGCTGTGCTCATTATGGAGTTATGAGATTAAATAAACGCCATGTCTTATTCATACTACCAAATTATATACCTCTCTACTGTCTTATGGACTTTATTTTTTTCCAATTATGTCACTCTGTTTTCATCTGAAACTTTTTAAACTAAATTCAGCTCCTTTAAAAGTAAACTATCTGAAAGTCCCTTAAGGAGACACCGCAAAGCTAGTTGGATATTCAGTGTTTATCCTCTCTGTGAGGCCTGTGAGCCAAGCTCTCTCACTCTTGGAGTCAAGCCTGGAGCCCTTGCTGTGAAGATGTATCACCCTGGGTAAATTGTCAGCTCCCTGACATTCTTATTACGCTGGCTCTAAAAGCCTAGCAGGCATGTTAGAAGGAGCCTGGCTCTCTAACACAGTGTCTGTAACAGGCGGTTTGGTCCATGCAGCCAACTGCAGTCCTCCCCAGGACCTCGGCACGTACCAGCCAAGTGTTTCCTGTCCCGGGGATCTGGCCATGGTCACTTCCAGTAACTGTCTGGGCTTCTCGGGGATGCGTTGGCAGGTCGCTAGCCTCTCTGAGCGATGGGGAACACATCATACAATGACAAGTGTCATGAGTGGGTTTGTTTTCCCTCCAAAAAGGACCTTTTTATCTACAGGTGAAGAATTATCCTCAAAATAAGCCCTCAAATATGATAGTGATACTGCAGGATCGCTTTAAACTCTTCTTCAAAGAATTCAAAGGCATAGAAGCTGTCTTCATACAACCCCAGCTTAAGCTTCTTCCATTATCAACACAAATGTGTAATCCTGTTCTCAGGACTGTAATGAGGGTAGTGTGTAAGTTACATACATTTCCTTTTATGCTGCAGTTGTTTGAAATGAACTTCAAATAGCTTTGGTTGAGGAATGTGTAGAATCCAAGGCTGGTGTCCAGTGTGGAAGCTGTTTATGGAAGAGAGTGGGGAGGGTAGAAGGGTAGGTGGGGGGTCTCTTCTCAATTAGGAGGATAAGCTGCTGCTCCGGAGCAGCCATTTCGAGCCATGTTTGGAGCTGTTTGGTGGGATCTGCACACAGCACTGGATAGCTTCTCCCCTCTCTGCCATTTGTTGACAAAGCAGAAGTCAAACTGCATTACATAACAGCTCTTTCTCTCCGTCTATAGTACAGCTGAGCGTGTGAAGAGAGCTCTTTTGTGTTGACATGGCTCACTTTTAAGGCAGCCTCTGACTGTTTCACAGAGACCCCTACCCCCCATGGAGGGAATGCATTACAGTTCAACTTTGTATCACCCTGCTTTGTTTAGATTTGAAAATGGACAGACAGGAAATTTAGATAATCCATAAGATCATACAGATGGAGTAATCTGTGGTGCCTGTAAAAATGCTCCAAGAGCTTAAATATTGAAGTCATAAATCGATTCAGGGAAAAATCTATTTAAATAAGAGCATGTAGGGTTTTACACTAAGGTTAGAAGTGATAAGTTAGTCATTTTGGTTAGTAAACTCCATTCACAAACAAGTGATTGATGCACAGAGTTTTAAAATAATGCCAAATAATAATCTAATAAAATAGAAATAGCAAAAAAACAGTGAGCTTGACGCACAGTTTTGTCAGACAACTTCAATAAAAAATTTCCAAAAGGAAAGTGCCAAAACTACAAGCAAAGCTCGAGGTCCAGTTTAAGATAAGGCTCAGACGAAGAAAATCTGTACAAGACATTGTGTAATTACACAGGGGATAAAGAATAACAAATTACAGCATGTGTCTATATGAAAACTATCCATCCATGCATCCATCTTCCAGTTTATTGAGCCAGGGTCACAATGTGACTGGAGCCTGTGGTATCCAGCATTAGGTGAGAGCCAGGGTACCCAACAGACAGGTCGACGGCCATTCACAGGGTTAACGCAGAGAGACAGAAAACCATTCATGCTCACGTTTAGAATGACGTGCTTGTCTTTGGACTGGAAAACCTGTACAGGCACAGAACATCCAAACAGAAGGACAATAATGTTAAAAATTAGGTGCTTTGTTGTGTTTTGTTTATTATTACACTTTAGGGAGCAAACCTATTCAAGGATGAGAATAAAACAAGAGAGGCTTTCAGGCTGGTTCGTAAAGTAAATACAACTGCTAACATCTTTAAAACCCACCACATCTTTAAACACCCCACCTCCCACTCCGTGTAAATATCGGAAATGTTTCTGAAGCAAGTGAAGAACTGCATGGATATTGCAAAATTTCCTTAAAAAATTTCTAGTATGTATCGAAAAAATCCTGGACGGACGGACGGATGGAAGGATGGATGGAACAACCAGGACATAAAGAACAGGGTCTATGACTTATTTATACAGATAAATTCGCGGGCTCTTTTCTGCATTGAGCTTGTAAAATCATCAGGGGGAAAAGGGTTGTCAAAGATTATATAAGTTGTTGAAATTTCTCTTCCTAACACGGCGATGTTCCATGAGAAAAAAATGTAAATATTTGTTGGTACCATTATATAACTGAAGGAAGTTCTCCCTGATCCAGGGAGGCAAAACTTTAAACAATAAAATCAGATGTCCTGTGGACACAAAGAGCCACCCGCATCATTTAGGAGGACGAAGAGTGGCTCAATCTTGACTGTTTTGTGAAAGATTGTAGCTAAACTCCTTGGTAACATTTTTTTTTCAGTACCTCAGTGTCAAACGCCTTTGCCAGATACCCTTTCCCCTGTTTTTATTGATATTAATACAGTAAACAATGTAGTTTTCCATCATAGAGTAAGATAAATTTCATGTTTAAGAAGCTAGATTAATGCTGGGGAAGAAAGCTTTCCATCAATCTTAAAATTATTCAAGATTGTGGGGAAGATAAGATTCAGGATTTCAGAAAGTACTCAACGTGAAAACAGAGAAAGTTGCCATATTTTTTCTGTTTTATATGTAAAACTTTTAAATGAATCAGCAACAAGCGTTTGAATACTGCCCTCGCGCTGGGAGGGAGCCTTTCTTTTGAATCAGGGATTCTGGGAACCCATCAGCTACTGTGCTGGCTAAGCTTCTGGGTGCAATGGGCCTTGATGATGGGGGCTTTCAGTGTAGCCAGCCAGTGGGCTTAGAGTTCCATTTCTGCCTGCCAGCAACTGTTTACGAATGCAGGTAAATTAAAAAGAAAAAAGCCAATAGAATCCTCGTCACACGATGGCCCGCTCAGACGTGAGTTGTGAATAGCGCTGGGACTGCAGGCAGATTCCGGGAAACCCGAAAGCATCTGTGGCATTGAAGACCCTATGGGTGGCTGAATCATCCAGTAGCAAATTGCAGCTATCATCTTTGGTCTGCCTCTCTGTCTCTCATCTGCTGTCCTGCGTGAGCATTTTAAGAGGCAGGAGGATTTCCACAGTTGTTGAGTGGGTGCAACATTCCCAGGTGGCATGTGGTGACAGGTGCATCTGAACACGCCTGTTGTCGCAAGCAAACAGACCCCCCCTGCATAGCGAAAGGTCAAGGTCAACCCTGGGACTGTTCCGCCCACATGAGACCCTCAAAGCTCGGCCGTGCGGCTCACGGGGCTTCAGAGGATCCTGATGTACGTCGTGGAATAAGGGCTGTTTGTACACATCATCAGGAAGGTAATGTATCTCTCTCTCCAGACATGCAGTGACGCCTTGGGGTGGTCGTTGGCTTTTATGAGTTGTTTGTTTTGGCAGTGTTGGTCACACCAGGGAGCTTTCGTTCAGTAGGAGGTTTATGTATCTGTGTGTGAGAGAGAGCGTTGTGTTGTAATGGAACTGAGAGATGCATATTGGATGAATCATCTGGGCTTTGCTGCTTTTAGATAATGGCAGAGGTCAGAGCTGAGAGGGTGTTTCACTGACTGTGATGTGAATATAATGACACCTACCCTGTTAATTGTTAAACTGTGAATTTGAATTTAACTCTTTTTTTGGTAAATGTTATAAGACTTAGTTTCTACATGTCAGACTTGTTTTGTTTTGGGGGGGTTTCTGAGAAATCAGCACAAATAACACTTAATAGCACATCCGCTAGCTTTAAAAACAGGAAAGTCAGGCTGTCTTTGGAACCTTTGAGCCACTAACTCAAGGCCCACTAACTGGTCTGCTGAACTTTGAACAAATTCAGCAAATAGTGACTTAACTTCATATCCACTAAGCCAAATAGACTCATAACAGGACCCGAGTGCACAGGAGCTTCCTGGATTATAAGGAATGACAGTGAATTTAGATAATGTTTTAATCAGATGGCTGATGTAGCGTCTTCTTATTTTTCTGTTTGCCTTGGCCCGGCCCGTGCTGTCCTAGCAATGCTCTGCCCTTTTTTTTTACAGTCTGGATGAATGGTGCTCTCTGCCCTGCTGTGCTCAGAAGCACCTCTTCCTAAAAAGGCCAGGGATGATCTCTGCTCTGTGTGTTTATACAGCAAACTAAACGCTGTCAGCTGTCATACTCGCTCTATCTGTTATATGCCAGAATTTCAAACACACTCAAAATGCTCTTTCTACTGTAAATTTCTCCATCTCGGGGTTCATGTGAGGATACAGCGGAAGCAGAACTGAGATCAGAGTAAGCACTCCTCAAAGGAATGCCTGTTAATGGTTTTGGAAATGAGATCATGGATGCTTTGCCTCTCCGGGATGCAGGGGGTCAAGAAGCAAGCTGATTTTATTAAAGAGGGACGGGAAATAAACACACGGTTTCTGATGCTCAGGGACGGCTCAGCTCCAATACTGGAAAACGTTTAAAAAGGTTTTTTGCTTTGTGTCTCCTTGGGACTTGTTTGGAATTGCTCCCATTTTCCCTTATCCATTTTAGGCCTATTTGTGGAGGCTTCCAGCTGGAACATCAGCCTGTTCTGCAGGTTGGCTTATTTACCGCCATGTGTAAACAGAGAGCACACAGTGTCCCACGCAAACTCAGAAGAAAAGGAACAACTTTAAAAGCAGCTTAAATTTTTCATTGCAGAGTAAATTCTAGACGGCTTTTGCTGCTCTGGCTTTTGCTCACTGTTTTCCTCTTAGTTTACAAATGAAAATGAAAAGAAAACACTCTTTGTGTCTGTTTGTGTATATGAACAAGTAACTGTTTGAGTGTCTTGGTGAGTGTGTTTGCAGTCTTAATCAGTCTTTTTCTTGGCATTTGAAATGGGGATGTCTCCTAAATCAGCCATGCTGCCTGAGCACAACGGCCAGATGAGCAGTAGGAAGTTTCACAGATACTTTTATGGTGGCCGTGCTCTGACTTCTGCATGCGCCACTGCTGGAGCTTAGAGCAATATGGGTTACTTTTCTCCTGTCTTGTTGTCATTAAAGGGAAGCACATGTGCAATTTTGGAATTTATATCAAAGTGAAAAGTACTGAAAGCACTGAATTTGATTCTCAATAATCTTATCTTAATTATCTTTGCTGAGTAACAGTAGAATTATACAGCAAGAATGCATTGAACAGATCTTTGTGGCATCTGCATGCTACCGATGTTTCACTGCAACTTTTAGTATCTGTAACATAAGTTGTAATGTCTCTCTGGATGGAAAAAATCATTATATATTATATAGACTGTGCTGTATTATGTTCTAAGCAAACAATGGCTATTGGCTTGAGTTTGAAAGTTTTTCTGAATTAAACAACACTTTGAATTACTAATATAACTTAATGTGAAAGAGCCTTCAGATGATTTAAACAGATAAAGTTCGCTGCCTTCCTGTGTTGTATCTCATTTCAGTGTGTAACCCAACCACAGAGGCACAACCACAGTTTCATTAGCTGTATGTGGTTCCTCATTAAAGCTGTCTTTGCAGTGCCTTCACTATTAATGCCAGTGCTAAAGCAAATCTTACCCGTATAAGACCTTTTCTGTGTATGTTATATTCCTTCAGTGCATACAGTCATCCATTCTAACAAGCAGAGACCTGGCCCGGTTATCAAATTCATGCTCCTCAGTCCATCTGATGTGAAGTTTATTGAGAATGATGCAGATGTTTCCACTGCTGTGGTGCTACATTTGTCAGACTAAGTCATGAACATTGGAGGGAAGCACAGGTGACTGTAGATTAAAATGAACACGAGTGGATTTCTTTATAGGTGCCCATAGATCCAAACCCTTTCATCTCTTTCTGCTAGGACCTGAAATGAATTGAAAATTTTGTTTTGTGCCTCCAACAAAAAGTTATTTAGTTGTTGTTCATATTTTTTTTTTCTGAATTCTGTCTGGATCTTTGTGTAGCTGCAGGTTAATAGTTAATAAAACATCATAGGAATCTATCTTGGGGAATCCTCCTATTGAATAGTCTTCCATGTGTTTCCTTTCCAGGGCTCTCCAGCAGAGGGCGGCGTAAGACCAAGCGCAACTCCCAGTAAGTCAGCTCTCAGTCTAAGCCTATCGAATAGTTAATTTAACCTCATCTCCTCTGTACCACAATGATGTGAATTCATCACTTGCATGGCATTAAATCGATCACGAGCACCCTTGTTAAATCAGATAGTGAATTGCTTTAATGAACAGGTGATAGATAACTGCTGGATAATTGCTTCAAATCTTAAAAGTGGGATGTTTTGCCTTAAATTTTTTTCATAATCACACACAAAAAAACTCTTTTTGTTCCTTCCTGTGTGTTTGTTGTGTTAAAGTCCCTTCAGGTCCTCGAACAGTCTGTGCTGTCAGGATTACACCTGTGAGAAGCATGAAAGGCTCTCCTGACCTGATTCCCACCCCAGGTGATGCATCCATGTGGCTCATCAATGTTTCAGCTACTACAGTTGTGGAAACCTCATACTCACACAGAAGACATAGAATGTGGTCTTCAAAGTCACTTGTTGAGAATTGGGTGTTAATTTAACGAGGGAATAAAGAAATTCTGCATAGAGCAAGCTTCAGGCGCTCTACTTTCACCTCTGGCGGGGTGCTCATGGTAATTAGTTTTACAGGACAGCAGGATATTAATTTGATGGCCTGGTTTTGATGTAACAGTTCTATTTTGGCGATTTGGAGCATGAAGTAGCAGTAAGTTGGATTCTCAGCAGCAAGACGTTCCTTAACAACCACCAAAACAAATAAATAAATAGCAACTAAAGTGAGATTTTGAATGTTTTCAGATTTGGACCCGAGCAGAGTTTGCAAAGGGAAAGGCGTGGTGACCCTAAGGGCCACTCTCGTCCACATCGATGATGAGGACTGCATCAGCGATGAGCCAAACGTCATCTCAACACCAAGTAAGTCAGGACAGCTGCCACAGTTGTTTCGTAACAGCTCTCCACATGATGAAGAGAATATTAAGAGGTTAGCAAGAATAACATGGCCACGTGTGTGTGGTGGTGGGGGGACAGGAGCACATCCGTGTAAAATGTGGACAGAGGATGTCAGTTTGGCCGTAATTTAACGGGCGTTTCGTCATGTTTGTCAGCATTTCAAGTGTTTTTGCAGGATTATATAACTACTCACGTTTTAAAGTGTATGCTCAGCTGGGCACGCTCAGAGCCGTGATGAAGGGCGACTGCTCATATTTTCATACAAGTGTCAAAGAGGTCTTTTGTTGTGGCCTGCCCACGCTGCACTTTGGAGCAGGCAGCCTTAACTGTGGGCTCGTTTGTTGTGCAGAGCGGAATGGAACCGGTCTGGAGGCTAGCCAAGGCTTTTGGGGAGATGCTTTAATTGTTGTAGAGTCTGAATATAAAGGCCAGTGGAACAAATGGCCTTAACAGCTAACTGAATAGGCACTTTGTTCTTGTGACAAAGTTCAGAGATTGTGGGAGAATCCTTCTTCTTTTTTTTCTGGAGATATTAACAGCCCCATGCATGAAAACCACTAAGGAAAGCATTCACACCCTGCAGAATGAAATGGAGATTTATTTTATCTGCAATTATCTGTTATGATTTGCTGTCATAAGCTCGGTCAGAGAATTTACTTTTTAGCATCGTCCCCAGTGTTTTTGTTCTTGCCGCGCTGGCTGCCAAACTAAGAGAGTTTTGGACCCTTTTTAGGTGGCTGGACAAGCCAGATTAATGGAGACAGCTCTAAAGCAGGACTGGCTGAGGGTGGCAGCAATGACACAGCCGATTTACCTCCTGTAAACAACACTCTGTGCCAGGTACGTTTACTTCCACCCCATTTAACACACGATCTTGGTTTGATTTTATGAGCACTGAGTGATCTTGTTATTTTAGGGTGCTGGTTAGATGTCTTTTTTTTCTTCTTGTTTTTATTACAGGACAGTTTTTCTTTCTCTTGACTTGTAAACTTGTATCTTCTGTCACTTTCAGAACAATTCATCTGAGAGCATAAAAAATCAAGCTCCGTTCTCCACTGACATTCAGAACTCGGTGACATCGACTCCCAGCTCTGTTTATCCCTGCACCAGCATAGTTAACCCCACCATAGTCCTGCTACAACACAACAGAGGTGAGCACACCTGTCTGTAGGTTGGGGGCGACAGATATTAAGAAGCTTAAAATTGCTTGTGTGCCCTTTTAGGGAAGCTTGGTGGTATTAAGTCATATATATGTCACTCAGACCCACTGAATGTTGCACTGGAGCACCAGCATGTCAGATCAAAAACACACATGCAGAGGGACCAGCTGCCAAAACACAGAATAACCTCAGCTTACAGTTCAGGCACTGGCTGTGTTGCTTTTCTGCTTATCACTCCGCTACATCTTTACTTAGCAAGTAGATGTTTTCTGCTGTGTCAGTGTTCAAAGTCTCACATGGAACATTTAACGGTGTTGTTGTCTCTGTCCGCGTTACATGTATAACAACTGCTTTCACACATCACTGCTGAGTCACGTTTTACTTGCCATGTCTCTGTCTGTGTTTGTTTCACAACAGAACAGCAAAAGCAGCTTTCTCATTCTGAAGGTACGCACTGAGGTCTTGTTGATGTCTACAACATGTAACACTTTTTTTTTTCATTCGTTCGACTGCTCGCAGAAGTGCTGCTTTTATTAAAGCGCAACACCTTTTTCATTTCTCGACTGAACCATCTGTGTGCTCACCACCCCCCTTTTCCCGGTTTCATGACTAACTTTTGTTTGTTAGTTTGATACAAGCGTCATGAAGTAATAAGTCAAGATACTGGCGCCAACATGTTACCATTTTTGGGAACGCAGTACGATGCTCAGGTTATACAGAACACATTTCATTTCCTTTTTGTTTGATGCTGTTTTTCTTTTGTGTTGCTTCTTATCAAACCTGGGATTTTAATCTTAGACTTTATTGTTCCCGTCACCAGTGGGTTACATGGAAAAATTACTGATTAGCATGAACTTGAGTTTTGTAGGCCGGCTTCTGTTCTTTCATTTATTTACTTGACATTGGACAGACCTTATCCTTATCATTTAAATCCAAGTGTGTGTGACTGAGCCTGTCGTACCACTGAGAAGTCATGTAGAAAACAAAGACAATATACTTTCTGATATTTGTCATGTATTTTATGTAAAAGGGGCATGAAAGGCAGTATACCCAAAATGCATTGTGTAGCTTACTAGGATGAGCTGGTGACCCATATTCCAAAGACATTTTTCATCTGGATTGCTGGAAATACACTGGTGGCACTATTATTAAGAGTCTCCCTGTTAAGTTAAAAGTTGAGTTTATTAGCAGTAGAAAACACACGTAGCCAGCTCAGTAAACTGAGCTACAAGCTTACTCTGCTTGGTAGAGCGGTATTAATATCTGAATCACTTCACTGAGTGAAGTATCCCAGTAAGTAATGGTGGTTTCCCAGCATAAACAATAAATGGGTGGTGGAAGTAACTTAAGTAAATAATGTACTGCATCTGAAATGTTCTGAAAAGTTATTTCTTGCACAAATTTTATATAATCTCTCTTCATGCTTCTTGGTTGCTTGTGCTGCCATATCACTGGAAATGTGTTGTGAGCTTAGCTTTCTTTTAGCTTATTTTTCTTGTGCTTCACAGACCCAACCCCAGAAAGGGACAAAAGCCCCGAATCCAGAAGTGAAACTGTCAGTCCAGTCCCTGAAATGGACGGGAAGAGGCAGCGGCTATCACTGCACTCCCCTGTGCTGAGTCCTCTCAACAAGCCCATTGTGCCTGCACGGGTGAGCGATTAAACCAGCTGTCGAATGAAGACTAATCGACTCTCTGTAAATGTTTAATGGGTGCTTTGTTTAGATAACACATGAGTGATTAATGCTACAGTAAAAGAGGTATTTACACAAAAAGCATGACCACATGTCATGTTTTTGATGTGATTATTATTTTTATTTTTATTAATCGTTGTAATAAATATAATATATAGTCCTCTAATCACACTCATAGCAGGTGTGTGTTACTAATTGCACTCTCACATTTAGGTGTCAGCTTCACAATAGCACTGCATCAGAATTCACGTTAAATGAGATGCTGTCATTCTCATTTGTTGCACTTTATTAAATGAAACAAAATGCTCTGAGAAACTCAGACAGGGGAACGTCTTCCTGCTCGAAAAGGATGCAGATGATGCTCTTCTGAAATTCTCATTGACTGGTTGTGAATTAATTGTTCCCACACTGTAATTTCAGAACACTGAAAAGTCCAAAGACTGGTATAAGACAATGTTCAAACAGATTCACAAAATACCTGGTAAGTCGTTTCTTTTTTTCTACTCTGTGTTGTTTCTCTGTTTGATCAGTTTTGCCTGGTCTGTTTCTGTCCCTGTGTGTCTTTATATATATGTCTCTGTGTTATGTCATGCTGTCCTCTGTCTCTCCATCATTGTGCATAGAGCCTATTGAGGAAAACCCTTACCGTCCCACCTACATATTCCCTGAGAGCTATGAGATTCAGGTGAAATCGAAAGGTATCTGATGGCAGTAACTCCACTCTCGTTGGCTTTACTAATCTGCAGCCATCTTGGACCCTCTTAAATACTTCAGCTGTGTTTAATCTTTGCGCTAGTACCTACTCGCCTCGAAACGACCGACCTCGAAGATGCAGAAAGGCTTTAATGTAATCTTTTCTGACATGTGTTTCTTAACAGTCACTATTACAGTAATCTTTAAATACACCGCAAGGTTCGTGCAGAACTCCTGATCACAGAACGAATCTGTTTGCATCTAATACTGTGCAAAAGTCTGGTGCCACCCCTTGTTTCGTGGAAGTGTAGAATATATAAGGAAAAAATAGAGTTTGTACAGTTCTAACAAACTTGAAAGTCACTATTTGGTTTGACCACCTTTATTCTTCAACACAGCCTGAACTCTTTTTGCGAAGTTTTCTAGTAATTTCTGTAAGTACTCTTTAATAATAGTTCTCCGGGCTTCTTGAAGCTCAGTCACAGCTCTTCTTTGGATTCTGGCTGCCTTTTGTTCTGTTCTCAGTCAAGATGATCCCACATGGATTCAGTAATGTTGAGGTCCAGGCATTGGGGAGGCCAATCCACGATTGAATGTGTTCCTGATTGTGTGTTTTTTTTCTGCCCAGGTGTGCTTTTACTGCATTGGCAGTGTGTTTGTGATCACTGTCATGCTGAAAAACAAAGCTGTTGCCAATCAGATGCATTCTAGATGTTATTGCATTGTAAAAGGAGCTTGCAAAGAAAAGTGTCTGGTCTTCTTTAAGTTGCTTGAAGACGTTTCACCTTTCATCCGAGAAACTTTTTCAGTTCTAAGGTCAAATGGCAGAACATTGGTATCCTCAAAAGAGCGTCCTTTATCCTTAAGATGCAGATGGACTGCTGAGTCTTGGCCTGTGGAGGTGGCTCTTCGAAGCCAATGTTCACATTTTGGACAGAGAGGACAGATGGTTTGAAAGAGGAGTGAAAGAAGCCATCTATGTCCACTGTGAGCGACCATCTTTGAACAGAGGCGGTGGTTTACGACACCAACTGTCTGCCATCTATAATCCAGTTTTGAGATCCCTCTCCAGACGCCTTAACGCCCACTCACATCCTGGGCCATCTGACCTCAGGAATTCGCATGATAAGGTGGGGCCAGGTTTCACAATGAGCTCCCCCGAAACCCTGGCTGATTGGGACCCACACCCAGTTTCACACCTTGGCTCAGGTGATTAGAGGATCATCAGGGCGTCCTTTTGTCCCTCTTTGGGGGGAAACTCCCACTAGGTTTAAATCTGGGACTCTCCACCATTTGACCTCAGAACTGAAGAAGCTTCTCGGATGAGAGGTGAAACATCTTCAAGCAACTTAAAGAAGTCCAGACGCTTTTCTTTGCAAGCTCCTTTGACTACAATGACCTGGATGACTGAGAACCTTCAGACATATTGCATTGTAAACCAAAATCTGATGATGCTTTTCTGTGTATATAATTTCATCGATTTTCATCTTCAGTACCCCAACTGAAATGCAACACCAAACCATGACAGAGCCTCCGTTATGTTTTACAGATGTCTGTAAAGACTCACTGTTGTCCCTCTCTCCTGACCTCTCCTGTACATACTAATGAACCACAAATTTCACATTTGTATTCATTACTCTGTAAGACCTGTAGCCACTGATTTCCAGTCCAGGTTTTGTGTAATTTGACATATCTTATCCTTTTCTTCCTTAAGAATGGCTTCTTGATACTCGCTCTTCCACAAAGACCATTTCTGATGAGGCTTCAATGAAAGGTAGATGGATCAAGTAAGGGCCGGATGCACCTCTTAGGTCCTGTGTCAGATCTTTGCTGGATTTTTTCCAATTTCTTAAGTACATGACTTTCAGATGCTGTTCGTTTGCTGTATGTAGCTTTTTGGGCTTTTTTTTTTCCTTTGGCCCCAAATTTTCCAAATAACCCAAAATTTTTTAAGGAGATGCTGCAATGGCGAGACACGCTGTTGGTAACAAAGTGACTAAAAATGCAGTTTAAAAATTGATTCTTTGCTGAGTCGTTTGATATTTGTAAAAACAACACAGGTTCAGCCCTTGTTAGGCGCCTGGTGCTTAAATGATTCATAGGTTAGTGTGGCTTAAAAAACATTTCTCTGAAAATGGTCAGGTACAAGAACTCGACTGAAGTGAAAAAGAATACACGGAGAACTATTCCTCAAAGCTACTTAAAGAACAATATGAAGAAATGAGGGGTGGCACAACACTTTTGGACAATACTGTATGCTGTGGCATAACATAGTAGGAAAACGACAGGTGTAAACAACAAAATTATATAATGAGTGATACTTTTTATGCATAATTATCAAAAAATCCTACTTCAGGAGTGAAATAAAAATAACTAAATTCTGAGTTTTATTACAATTATTGAAACAATCATTGATTAAAGAAAAGGTTATCTCATCTACTGAAGTGTTGTGATCATCCCCTGAATAATATACTATTTCCAGTTGATGCATGGATGATGCACGACGCCTTCAAGTGTATTTTTCCTTTTATATCAGAAAAATGTAATAATATTGTCATGTTCTTTTTTTTCTGTTAACCATCTATTACTACAAATTTCAGGCTGTAATCTTTTTTTTTAAATATTTTGTAGATGCTTATTCTGACTTTTCTGCAATAAGGCATCTTTTGCATTATTTCCACCACTAGGTGCTGCTGTAGTCCTACATTAAGGTTTTTAGTCTGCTACCCAGAGTTGAATCTATGCAAGATCTCATAATAATACTCTACTAACCAGTGTTTAGGTTGAAGCACTAGATGGTTAAGGTAGAGTCTGGCTCATAGTTTTGGTTTTGGATTTGCACATCTAGCCACCACAGCAAGGTTTTAGGTCAAATGAAAGGAGATGCTCAGTGATCAACGTAGATGTGTAGCTGTGACACTTACCAGAGCTCTCTGACTATGACAGTTCTGGCTCTGTGGCTCTACAGTGCATTACTCAGTCAGACCCTCAGTGCTCATCGATGCTTGGATCCCCTTTTAGCTCAGTAATGCTTCCCTTGAAGTGCTTTGATTTGACACTCTTTGCCTGTGTTTGGTCTAATGGAAGGTGTGAGGCAAGGGAAAAAGCAGGAAAAGAGTGTCTTCAGTGTCTTCTGAATTATTTAATACTGTGCTATATTCATTGCTTTTTAAGTAAGAAAGACAGCAAGAGATAAAATTAATAATAAATCACTTTTTATTGCTGTACTTTCCTCTTTCAGATGATGGTCCTACCCCCTTTGGTTACTTGGAAGATGGTGAGTCTGGGATAAGTAGCTGTAGGAGTTCAACCAAAATAATGTTCTAAATTTGGAGGCACTATTTACACAGTGCAAGTATTGAGGTATTTATGTTCCTATTTCCAGTGAGAGCAGTCCCACGCTCAAAAAGTGAGAATGAGGTTGATTCAAGAGGCTGCTCGATGCCAGTGCCAATGCGGTCGTCTTCCCTCAAACCCTCTGCCAAAAGGTCAGCATCTTCCATCTGCCCCAGTCCAAAGCGAAGATGTTTGCTTTGATACTTAACACACAGCACAGTTCTGTTTGTGTTTGTTAGAAGAAGAAGCTGTTCACAGTTCGGAATACTTCAAATACTGAAATACTGAAATACTGCCTGTGTTTACCTACAGAGTTAGTAAGTGTAGATAAGCAGGGCTTACTGTAGTGGAGCAAAAAAGCTATTTATTCCCTGACTTTGAAAATATAAGCATGCTTTGTTCCCATTGGCTTCCACCACTGTGTCCTCTAGTTTTTTGCTTGAAGTATGATTAGTGTCAACCTTCCACACCGCATGTCAGCACAGACAAAGGCCTGCCTCTGCGCTCAGAGATGTGAGTGATGGAGTGATGAAGGCAGACAGGTGATAGAGGATAAAGTGTTGCCCACAAAAGCTGCAGATGACATGTTGAGGACTGACCTTCCTTGTTCCTTGGTGTTTGTGGATGAAGCCCTGCGCTCCTAAACGCGTCGTTATCAGTGCTGCTGAAACGTCCCGCGTTGTTCTTGATGCTCATCAAAGAGAGCATGCTTTTTGTTTGCCCTATTTTTTTTTTCTGTTTTTCTGAATAGTCATTTTATACTTGACTGTCTGTTAAGAAATTCTCCCAGGAAATGCTGCGCTCTGTTTTTTGTTACCAGGTCCAATCTAGTTTACCTAATCAAATTACCCATTTGGCTCAACTGTGAATTGGATTTTCTGTCCTATCATCATTAGACGCAGAGGAGGAGGACAGGGAGGCAGGCATAATGAGGGCGGACGTCATATATGAATCGTAAAAAAAAAAGATATCTTAGCCTGTGCTGGTTGCTATGGAGACTACTTGATAAGGATTGGCTGTCTTCGATCTCACACCCCACCCTTCCCCAATTCCCGCCTCTCTTCACAGGAATGAGTGGGAGCCCCCAGATAAAAAGGTAGACACCAGGAAGTACCGCGCCGAGCCCAAGAGCATCTTTGAGTACGAGCCGGGGAAATCATCGGTGCTGAAGCTGGAGAGAACGGTATGCTAGCCTCCTGCCTGTTTCTCCCCCACCCTCTCTCTTTCCCTTCCTCTCTCTGCCTTTGTGTTTTCATGTCGTGTGAGCTATTCCACACTCCACCCATCATGCGACCCCCGCACCCCCACCCCCACCACCTCCACTGTGTCTAAGCTCCTGAGTGGCAGCTTCACTAACGGCTCGGCAGGCGACGTATGTGTAGCCACTACATTCCTTAAGGGTGTCCTGTTGCGGTGACAGACGATCCTGGTGGAAGCAAGCGGAGTAGTATCACTTACAAGGATAGCCATTGTCTTCCTGTGTTCAGTTTAAGGTTATTGGGCTGAATCGGCTCGTGAGAGCATCCCGACAGTCCCTGCACAGACACTAAACATTGATCCTGTGTGTTTACTAGAGAGGAAATGCAATGCTCTCTGTCTTATGTTCATTTCTCACCTGGACACTTTGTGATGAGGAAATGATGCAGCATTACTCAGTGTCCTTGAGAGTTATCTTTTGTGTCTCATAAGATTCAGGTGGCTGTTTTTATATTTCCCTCTTACATAATATTGAGGACATGGGAATATTCGGTATTGTAATGAAGTACTTAGTTGGTTGTGTAATTGCTGTCTGAAGCCCATTTACATCAAACTAGTAGATGTTTTTAGCCAAGATCTAGCCTGATTCTCCTAATGAATGCAGTGCCAACCAGTGCATTCATTAGGAGTGTGCTCCAATTCATCCCAGGACAGGGGTAAAATAATGAGCTCTGTTGTTTTTAATTACAAGCTCAAATTGTTATAATAGAAGAATGTGCTTGTTAATGGAGGTGGTCATTTTCCTTTCAGTCCATTCATGTTACACAAAGTTGTGTTGTTCTCCATATATGACTACATTTCTGCGGATCAAGAATGAGTATGCATGTGGTGTTGGACATTATGTATCTGCTTGTTAATTAGATTAGAATAAAATTATATGTAGTTCTTATTAAATAACAGCTTTGTGCCGGTAAACGGCTTAAAGGACAGTTTTATATCCATTTGTATTTTATAGATAGTGCGTTATCTTTGGTCGCTGAAAGTGTTTTTCCTTTCTCCCTTCTAAAGTAATAGACCCTGTGCACGAGAAAATGCTAACTTCCTGGTTTGAGACCGGATGTGGGGTTGTACATTTCCGGTAGCTTTACTTTGCGGTCAATCGCTACTGCGAAGATATACTCCACAATCATGTCCAAAACTCGAAAACGGAAAGATTGCGTTAAGTTACAAAGAGCAGAAGGTGGGAACACTCACCACTGTTGTGTCATAAAAAATCTAATGATCAACTTTGACATTTAAAGAGTTTAGATCAATCAGTTGTTTACATCACTCAACACAAGCAGAACTGCATTACAAAATCAGAAGACACATCGTCCACATTCAGAAGCACATCTCTGTATAGTGACTGGTCTTATGATTTAAACAGGAAAATGTTCAGCATTCAAACTACAGGTGAAGAATAGTCAAACCAGATGTTTCCACTTTATGTCGATATCAGCTAGTCAAGTACACACCTACACAGCATGTCAACAAACCATGAAAAAAAGCCACACAAAAAAATGAATGATTGCTGGTAAGGGTTTCTATACATTAGTATGTACGAAGGGTATGTTGTGACTTACCTTAAAAATTACAGTGGTCTCTCGCTATAACGCGGTTCACCTTTCACCTCGCTGTTTCGCAGATTTTTTAGTGCAAGTTTGCATGCTTTTTTTTTTTTTACGTCACATTGTGTCCTGCGTCCTGATCGCTGCACACGATCTCCTCCGTGACGTCTCTCCTGTACAGTACAGAATCGCTGCATCGATTGCTAGCAGTGTGACTCTGAAGTGCAGTACTGTATGTCGACGAAAAGTTTTGCACCGTCAAAAAATAAAATTGGCTACTTGATTTCACCTATCGCTTTTTATTTTTAGAACACAACACCCGCGATAAACGAGGGACCACTGTTTACAGATGCCTAGAAATATAACGTTTGAATCCCTTTTCTCTTTTGCTCTGAGGCGCAGGGGAAAAAACATCGACAAGTCGATGAACATCATTTACAGATATATTGGGTAAATGCCCAAGACATCTATAGAAATGTAAATCGCTGCTCGATTCATTCATTTGCTAAACTTGTTTTGGACCGTAAACAAGGCCGAATAGGACACCGGAAACACAGCTCCCCACAGGAGTTTCCACACCGGAAGTAGCATATGCTAATGTGCACATAGTCTATTGTATTTGAAAAGATGCAAAGTTGCATTTAGACATTCAGCAGAGGCTAACAATATGCTTCAGTGGTTAAATAAATGAGTAAATAATACTCAGAGTTAAAGTCATTTTCCTATAAAATATCCTCTTTGTATTTCTCAGTGTTTTCTCTCTAAACTGGACCATAGCCTTACAGTGCAGACAGGGAAAACATCGCCAGCTGCTTGTAGTTGTACATACAGTTTGTGTATGTGAGTATTGTTGAAGGCATAATTTGACATTTTGGGCAACCTGTTGAATTGTTTTTTGCCAAGCCTTTAAATGACAAGATGTATACCACTCCAATTTGTCAAAATATCTAGCTAAAGCTAGCAGGTTAGCATAGCACAAAGGATGAAAATGAGAGAAACAGCAACCCTGCTAACACTTATGAAACGAAATAACTTGTTACACTTAATTGTTCACTTAATTTAAAGTGTCAGAAATGACTTCTTTACTTTTTAAACAGCAGTTTCCTGGGGTCTCTTACTGTCTGTTTCCCGCCTTTGTGCTAAGCTAAGTGACCTGTCTGCTAGCTATTGCTTTATAACAATCTTCTCATTTTCTGCTTACCAAGAAAGTAAATTAGTAGCCTTCTAAGATCTTTCCTGAACTATTCAAATATCAACTTCAAAACAATACAAATCATATCTTTAATTTATTTGAGAGCACCTACAGCATTGCTTGAAAATTGTCCTGTTGGTTAGAAACTGGCTCAGTCAAGTCAATGTTATGGGCTCATTTCCTCGGTGTGTATATTCTGTGCTGTCTGAACTGTCTTCTCTTTGTCTTTCTCCTCCTCTTGTTACCATGCCCCTAGACTCAGGATGTAAGTCCAGAAGATGTAGATTTAGAGAATGAGCCTTGGTATAAATTCTTTTCAGAGATGGAGTTTGACAAAGCGGTAAGTGACTGCTGTCTTCAGACTTGACAGCATGTTGTATTATATTTTTATTGCATGTGATAACATCCATGTTCAAATATTGTCTAAACAAACTGTATGTCTGTAAGGACTACGTCAGTTTCTCATCCCTCTTTTATTTTTTCCCTGATCGTCCTATATTAAAACAGTTATATGGTAACATGTGAGAGGACTTTTTCTTTCCTCTTATACTAAAATTACTGTCATGTGTCACATCAATGTGGATTAATAATACCGATGACTGATAAGCTTTAGTCCGTCTCTGTTCACTCCTCTTAGACTTTTTATATTCCCTTTTAAATTTCTAAAAATAATCAACATGTATAATTACCAATCAGGATCAAACTTTCCAAAGGACTTTATATAGCTACTGTCATCCTTGATTATCATATCATACACAGGACTTTTTCCTCAGGTGCATCTAAAATAGAAACAATCTATTTTTGTTCCTCTTTTAACAAAAAACGAGCATCTCAGCTTTTTATTTGCACCTGTGAGGCAGAGTGAGCATATTCTATTCAGACAGTAGAAAACAGTGGCCTTTATCCATGTGCAATTTCGATTAATAGTGTTTAAAAGTTCTGATTATCGATTGGGATCTTTTGATGTTTTGTGGAAGCACCCTGTTCTTCAATGTCTTAATCTCAGAACCCAAGAGAAACCCTTTGATGTGCATCCTGCCAACTAGCATACATGTCATAAGCCAGAGGCCTGGACTGGCTGATTCACACAGAAGTCACTCTTCACTTGGAGAGGCTGCAGTCCAAACGAGCATCAGGTTCCAAGATAATCCCAGCCACTTCAGATAATAATTGCTGTTTGTCTGCTATCTTTACCAAAGGCGTGCAGGCAGTGATGAAGCAGTATACAGTGTCATGACAAATCCATGCCTCGGGCATTAGTTGGCACCAGACAAGTGTAGCGCTGGCTTCACACAAACAGATGTTGATTCTCCTCGCTCTCTGTCAGTCAGAGACACACCCTGGATCATATGAGGTGGCACCACTGGCTACGGCATGAGATCATGTCCTAGCATCAGCCAGACGTAGAGGCAGGCTCTCCTGTTCCGGGTTTGTGTATATGTGGAGGAGGTTTAGCGGTGGAGGCGGCCGTCTCTATCTCATGGCAGCCTGGATGTTTGCCAGATGAGCTCGGCTTGATGACTGGCTCCTGTTTAATGTCAAAGTCACTTCTAAAGCTGCACCTGGTATGCACAGCATTTGACCTTAAAGGGCCAGCCAGACATACTGGCTCATTGGAGTTTGATTGACATATCAGCAGTCACTTGGTATTACTGGATTAGAGATATGGAAGGAAGTCTCTAAAAATCTCAATTGTCTTCAGTTAGTTCTCTCTCTTTTTACTACTCCTAGAGTGCTGACAAGAAGAACTTCTAAGAAGAACTTTTAAGTCATTTTATATTATTATTAGGAAAAATGTTCCTAAATATAATAAAAGGTTTTTGATTCCTTGGTTTAAAACAATTTGAAGTCCCTTTTTATACAACAAGGCTTTGTGTAAATTCTACTTTCAAATCGTTACTTGTCCACTAGTGGCCACTTCTAGTCACTAAGTAAGAGTGACCTGTGTATGATTGCAGTGATGGCCCTCTTGATTAATAGTCACAAATTCAAGGTTCAACAAGAGCCGGAAAATGCATCCAGTGGCAGTCGTGGTCAAGCACTGGCTCATCGATATACATGTCTTGCGGGAACTGGAATTCCACACGTATCTCTGGTCAGGAAGAGCATTTTGGCCCCCTGTAACTGACATGGTGACTCCATCTGTCGAGCATATGCTGGCGTGAAGGCTGCTGCCACACTGTCTCAGCGCCGAGTTACATAGAGCCTCCCCCTATCACCTGACATATTCTAAAGGAGGCAACTCCGTAAGCCAGCCAGCTCATTGTGCTTTCATATTTAACCTATGTTATATACTTAACCTTTACCTTTAAGCATTTAGAGGAGGAGAGAAGAGGGGCGTGGAGGGCTATAACAGGCCATTCACAATGGGGAAGCTGTTTGTTTTCATGAGAGCATATCAACAGAAAACAAGGGGCTGGAAAGAATGGGATTCGTGTTACCATGACCCACTCACGATCGCTATTTTGAAAATGAACGCTGCCTACAGGAGTCTGAGCTCTGAGTAAACGGGGACACCTGTTAGGAAACATGCACATGAAATTCTGCAGAAATACTGTCATTGGTGTTCCACTGACTCACAGAGGTTTTTATCCATGTCCATATAGAGCATTGGACCCTTGTCACAACATGTAGTTTCATCCTTTATGCATGTCTCTTCCTGTCAAACAATCTTCTTTTTTCCACTTTTATTTTACAAGCTGGATAAAAGCATTAGTCAGCTGTCACAAAATAATTGATGTTAAGTGATTTCAGTGTCGGATTAGTTTGAAAATGACCAGTTTCCACCTTTTATATAAAGAAAAGTTTACATAAACTGACACTAATCAGGCATCTTGTAAATAACCAGATTAAGATTCCATTCATTTACTCCAGATAAGCCCCGTGCTTGTTTCCTGTTTACTTTCCACTGATGCTGTGTGTGTGCGTGTGTGTGTGTGTAAGCCCAATTACCCTGGGGTGTCAGAGGACACCATCTTCTCCCTATCAGATACAAGGGGGGGATACAAGACGTGGTGGAGCAAGGAAGAGCCACTGATAATTCAGTGACACTTGTGTGTTCCCCAAGTCTACATGGAACATTTAGCTTTATAAATAGATCAGACTATAGACCTGCCAGCCCGATATGCCGTTCTTATAAAGACAGGCACTTATTCTGAAAGGTTATTAATGATCCTTCTGCCCTGGCAACTAAGTGTAAAGGCATGTTGTGGCAAATGAGCTGTTCAGAATGTTCCTTGTCTGGTCGTTGGTGTGGGAAGCGGACGCTAGGTCGTGCCACGGGGAAGTGGATGTGGCATTAACAGCAAGGCCGGGCTGGCTGGGGTAGGGATTGTGCAATCGTATTTGCAAACAACACTTGTGCTCTTATTCATAGTGCCCGTGTCACGTCTGTTATTTTTGCCTGCTGTGACGTCCGAAAAGAGGAAAGCAACAGAAACAGTGTGCTAAAATTAGTCTGCTGTAAACTATTCAAAATGTTGGTGCGACCATGCTGCATGAATGATCCCCCCCAATACACCCACACCCATATGTTTTGGAGATAACAGCAGCTACTAAAAACAGCTACTCTTACATTTATTTAAACATTTCACTCACTTTGTGCTTCACGTGGTGTTTCTTTTGTTTTTGCTCTCTGTCTTTATAACATAATTACCTGTTTCTTTTATAATATGTTGTTTCAGTGCATTTGTATTTTTTTTTTCTTTGACAAGTGTGTGAGCTTGAATATTGAGCGTGTATATATGTGTGTGTGTGTGTGTGTGTGTGTGTAATTTGGCCTTCTTGCACCACCAGCTGGTTAATTGTCCCTCGGTCTGGTCCAGTGATAATGAGAGCGACCCAATATCAGACAAAAGAGATGGCTTCACCGGGAGACAGCAGCTCATTGGCTGAGCCTGTGACAGCCCCCTCCACGCATGGGCGCCCCCTGACCGATGCACGCCCACCCACCGCCCCCCTCCCTTCCACTCTCTTTACTGCCGCTTGTTTCTCCAACTTGCATGCAGGCCAAAACACACGCTTGCTCCTCCATGCCAAGCCAGACCAGAGAAGCTCTGAAACCCGGGTGCTCGAGACAGAAACGACAGAGCAGCGAGTGAACGACAGAGAGGAGGAGAAGAGAGAATCTGGCCACAGCTAATGCTGCTGCCTCTATTCTAGCTGGAGGAGACCTTCCTGTGGATCTATCAATGACTTCTTTGTTTGGTTTGTTGCAGAGTGCCCCCTCTTTCAGCCCCTTGGAAACAGCCTCCGACCTGCAGCAGTAGTAAGTCGATGCCTCTCCTCCTTATTTTAATGTTTGTGCGTCCTCCTTCCAGTGTGTAGATTATTATTTAAGTCATCTTATGGGTATAAATATCAATGAGAGATTTCTCCACCCTGGTGAGGTCGCCCGCCTACAACCGGGAGACTCCTGCTTCCTGAGGAGATCCTGTTAATAAGGCAAAAAGCCACCAGAACAGTGTGTCCTCTGTCCGTATTTCTTTTTTACGGGGGTGGTGGTTGTGGTGTCGAGACATAGCTGCTATGTGGGGATTTATTTAAAGACAGCAACCTGGATGTCACTGGGATAGAGGGAACTTGCCCAGCTGCTGCATAACTCAGAAAACCGTTATGTCCCTTCCAATGTGTGCACAGAACTAGGATGAGCAACTGGATTATGAGAGTTGACGTTAGCTCACATTAGGACAAAGCTTTTGATCATTTTAATTTTGTCTGGTGATACTGGCATGCTGTCTTTTCTGTTTGTGTAATAAAATGTTAGGAATTTAGGTATGAGTAATAGTCACTGTCATGCGCTTACAGTCCAGAAGTTTCCATCTGCTACAATCATTATGTCATCATGGCCAAGCATTTGCAAAAGACATTCGTACCCCAGCTTTTTAATCCACTGATTTGCTGTTAATTTGAAAGGAAGAAGTGGTTGATGAAAGCCGAGTGGAATTTCACTCACCCAAAGGTTTTCAAGGGAAACCTCAGCTCATAAACTGACTTCCTTCAAAGGCGCATATGTTTATGGCAGTCCTCTTTCTTTTTTTTTTTTACTTTTTTGACTCTGTCTGAAGTTGAAGACTTTTCAAGAGCTGTGTGTTGCCCAAATAGCATCATTAGGCTCACGCTAAGCAAATTTGTGTATGTTTTGAGGCAGCACAGCACATGGGAGTGCGTCTTATTCTCTCAGAAATAGATTCATTAAAACTGATCTAATGAAAGCACAAAAGAGAAATTTGTCATGATGGAGCAGTACGTACACAGTGACTTGCATTTCATGGAAATCCTCATCATTCCAGATAAATGCGTTACTGTTTTTGACCTGCAGGAAGTGTTGCTGCTTTTAAAGCGTCACAGTGGTGTCTGATTTTCCTTGAACCTTCCCTGGAGATTCTTCTTCTTCTAAATCTGGCATGGCTCCTGTACTGTACATTTCCTGGAGACCGTTTATGTGAATTCTTGCAAGTAAAGTAGAGCCAACGTGATTTTAATGGCTCTGTATAGCCAGCAGCGCACATATTTTTTTTTTCTCTGACAGCTATGAAAGAGCTTCTTGTTGAGGTATTCGCAAGTATGTAAAACTTTGGCTTGGCAGCACTGCAGATGTTAAACACTATGGTTTGAATGGGTTTTTATATTACCAAGATGTTATTGGCAACTACGTATCTTTAAACAGGAGGATTGTTTGTACAGAGAGAGAAGCAACATGAGTAACACATGACAGCATGGGAAAGAGAGTTAACCTGAGAGTCTTACAGGTGCATGGCAGGGGCTGATGTACCATGTGGGAATGTTCGGAGAATATTTATAGAAATCTCTGCTGCTGGCCTCTCTAGAATGCCAAGATATCTGTTGTAGCCAGTGTCTTCTCTCAACATCAGCCTCCAAATTCAGCCTTTCTCTCTCCCTCTCTCGTTTAGCTTTTTTCTGTTTCTGGTTATTTCGTCTCCCACAAGTCTGCAAAGACAGGAATTACCTCAAGATATGCTAAATAAGAACCATATGGCAGCCCATTACCCAATTTGTGTGCCTTTGGCTATCATAAAAACATTCAACAACAGCTCTTGCTGAACGAAATTGACTGTGTTTAATTAGCTGTCTGCGTTCCTGTGATTTGCTGTCTAGCTCCTCAAGCAAGTCTGGACACAGCGAGGTGGAGAAGGACAGAGGATCATCTACTGATGAGCCTGTGGCTCCAGAATGTGACCGTCATGTTTACAAGAGTGTCCTAGAGGGCGGCGATATTCCCTTGCAAGGTCTACGGGCTCTAAACAAGCGCCCCGGCAGCTCCTCCTCCTCTAAAGGTAGGATAGCAGCTACTTCACATATGTGGCCAGTAAAAAAAGCAGGTGTGTGTATGTTTATGTACGTGGACATGGTAGACAGTTCAGCCGGCCTTTAAAGGCTTCTCCTGCCGAGACAGAACCAATCAGTTAGAGGCGGTGATGCTGGACCATTCAAATCATCAGACAGGGATACATCTGTTTCTGTTTACTTTTATGTCGGAATTCACACATTTTCCTTTGCTCCCAGACCACACAGCATTGGCCAATCACCTCACAGCATTCATTTCCCCCAGAAGCTTTTAATGCCATGGATGTTTTCATCAAGCGTGTACTGTATCTGCTTTGGAAAACTCACGGAGGGAGTGAGGTTGTCTTGTTAAGTCGATGGAAGCTAACCTTGGGGCTCCCCCACCCACCCACCCTTGCTCCAGTTGTGAGCTGCCAGTCGCTAGGCAGGCTTAGGGCAAGACTCCAGAGCGTTCCAGCGCCAGGGAGCTAAGGGCCAGTGAGGGGATGGACGAGGAGATACGCGTGAGATAAAACAAGCTCTGCTCTTCACAACCCAGCTAGAAAGGGTTGAGATAAACAGAAAGGACACAGAGGGTGGGCGGGCATGAGGAAGTCAGCTGTCAGTGTGGGGTCAGAGGCTGGAATGCCTGCGCACATGGCTAGAGAGAGAAACACTCAGGTGGAGAGAAGAAGAGATGTAAGAAAAAGAGTGTAAGGGGCAGTTTGACCCAGTACATATCAGTACATTACATTAGGGATATAAACAGATTATAAACTGCCCACCAATACTTAAAGTTTGGTGTATTTTCCATAAAATATGACTGTTACAGGAATCTTATAAAAGAAGAGCCATTTACATCTGCTGTTCAAGACCAATTTGTGTTGACTTTTAACCATTTGAACTGTGGTAAATAAATTTGGCTCTCCAGTCAACTGACTACCACACTCCTGTTTCACCCTCCCGCCTGAGGCGCCACCTTGATCATTAGAGTCTCTTTCTATTTAAGACACAGAAGGTAGAGTGTAGACAAGCCCGAAGACATAACCAAGTGCAAGGAACACTTCATCATCATGTGTTTCTGCCTTGCGCTCTTAAAATAAAATTTAAAAAATATCTTTGTGTTTCAAAGAACAGAGCCTCCTTCTGGGCTTTTTTTTGTGGGCTGAATGGTAACTCTTTACTTGCCATATGACTTGGATAGTATATCAAGTTAACTTCCTCAGTGCGTGTGTTTTTCCTGGCAGATACGAACACGACAGATTGGTCACTCATGCTACAGAAGTGGCTCGCAGCATGCGAAAGCGTTGTGTCATTTCCCAGTGCCATCTGTAGTGCTGTCACAAGCTTAGTATAGCCAGGAACTGACATGAGTATTTCTCATAGGTTTTCATTTTTCACTGTGCAGGTCAACTCAGAATAGTTTTGGGGTTTTTTTTGTTTTTTTTTGTTTGGGGGGGTTGCAGCCGTGTAGGAGGAGCGGTGTATTAGCACTGGTGCCAGCAGCCATTTATCACTGTAGACGTCTGTGTAATTGCTAAAAGGAGAGTAGATTTGTGTAGGAGGATAACGCAATGGAGGATAATTTTACTGCTTACTGGAATACAAATAGATAACAGAAAGGTTTTGCATTCTTCTTTGTTTGTTTTTAAAATGTCAGTTACTGTAGTCCCTGTTGAGTGAGTCCTTTATAACCTCCGACATCACATAACATTTCATGTTATATTACCCTTTTGATACTTTCTGTTTCACTCATTATGTTGCTGTTCGCAGTGATACTGATAAACGGGGAATCTGCTAGTTCTATCTTTGTAAAACTTTATCCCCTGCTGCAGCACCATGTTTTTTAGCTTTTTAACAGTCATATATTACTTGATGCACAGTGCATCAAGTCTGATTCCTCTTCTCATCAACTTCTGATGGAACTTGGTCTTTATTTTAGAACTGTGCCTGACTGTTTTAGTGTGTATGTGTGTAAACCTGTGACCATTGTAATCTAATATGTTGTTTATTCTGTTGTCCTGCATGCTTGCCAGTGGATTATAAAGGTGGGAATGGCTATATAATTTCACCCTGCTCCTCTGTAAATAGTCGATCGAGTCTTGCCAGTAATGCAATAGGTAACCAATGTAAGAGTAAGAAGCCTCTATCTGCTGCCAAAGCCTGCATACCCCAAATCCTGCCCTCTAAGTTTAAGCCCAAACTGCTGCCACCCTGTGGCAACAGTAAGGACAGCAGGACTAAAGATGCCAGGCACCCAAAGGCCCACAGCTGTGAGGATATCTACACGGGGCAATGTGACACAGACTGTGCTGAAGCGGAGGCCCAACATTCAGATTCTAGGTCCAGCTGTGGGAGTGAGTGTGGCGATGGTCTCAGAAATGTTTCCCCTGCAATTAGGAGAAGCGCATCAGATTTTTCCAGCCTGTACAGGACCATGCATCACATCCAGCGGCCCAGCTCGACCGGCTGCAGCCCACACGGCAGTGTCCGTAGCCTGACCTCGCTTTTTGAAAAACCAAAGGACAACGGGGATGAGAGGTCAGAGGCAGATGATGGGGGTAGCATTCCACGGGATACTGTATCCTCACGGGTCAACGAGTTTGAAATGATTATCCAGCGCTCCACCTCGGCTCCCAGCCGCTCCTCCTCCTTGCCCATCCTGCACTCCAGCCGCAGCCACAGCCCCAGCCACAGCCCTGCCCACCTCTACATGGCCTCTGCAGTGTCAGCGGAGTCCCTTTTACTGGCCAACAACACGCAGGCTGATGTCTGCAACCTGGACGAGCAGGAGGGCAAGAGCTCTGGGGAGGACATGTCACCAGAAAGTGTGATGGTGGAGGAGGCAGCTTCCTCCACTGAGGACAGACATGACAGCAGAACTGAATCCCCCTGTAACACAGAAGCAGAAGTTGAACAAATCCTGAGAGAAATTTCCCCAGAACTAAATCACCAAAACATCAGTGAATCAAAGAGCCCCTCAGTGATGCTTACAGCATCTCCTCCGCAACACAGCAATCTCCACCACCACCACCACCACCTCCTGCACCACTTGAACAATCAACTCCTCCTCAAACCCAGCAAATGCAAAGGCTCTTGCCCAGCTTCCTACACCCGCTTTACCACTATCCTCAGGCATGAGAGGCAGCAGGCCACGAACCAGCAGGAGAAGCAGCCACCCACAGAGAAGAAGACCACACTACCTGGAAACCTCTTCCTCATGGGCCCCGCTCCCTTCAGGTTACGGAAGAACCCACAGTCCCATCAGACTCGGAGGATGTTGTTAGCCACCAGGGTGCCAGCGGGCACCCAGAGGCCTATCAGTCTCTCGCCTGAGCTCAGACCTTCCATCCCTCAGCGTCTGTCCTCCCTGGAGGTTCTGGAGAGGCTGAGTAACGGAGAGGAAAACAACACTGGCTACCTGAGTAACGGGCAGGGCTTGGACGCCAACGGGAACCTACTGCAGCCGCTGGCAGCTCACCGCAGAGGTGGCTATCTCCATCCCTTCACCACTTGTCACCCTCCCTCCCTGTGTGGTCTTTCATTTATCTTGACTCTATCTTCACCTTGTGTCCCTTTTCTCCACAAAGCAATGCCACCACCTTCCATCTCCAGTCTGTGTGGTGTGTTTACAAAGTGACAGGGAACTCGCCATTTCATTCTGAGTGTGCTGTTCGGTGCCCTTCCATTTCACTGTCAATGAGTATGGTCCCACAAATGCATCAAAACACTTCAGTGACTGTAGGGGAGGTTCAGGAAGCTTTTGGTAACGTATATAATCCCTGGACATCAGATTTGAGTTGTTTGCATGCTGCGTAGGTCTGCATAGGCATTACATCGAAAACAAGCAGTATTTTATTATATTATGCGATGTAATGTTAAACTTTGAATGCATTACCTTGCATTGAAATGCCCATCCTATGTAAAAGCGACATTTCTAGGAATTGACTCTGATATTTAGGCATTTAACAGAGCAAAGGCTTTCTCAAACTGATGTCTTATTGTGTCCATTTTTGTACCCTCTCTGCTTTTTGGGACTGTCCACATCTACCATGTTTCATTCCTTAGCCTGTCAGGATGTTTCCTGCTTTAACTTATCTCATATAACAGATGCTACTCTGAGCATCTGATAGAAAGCCTGAAGCATTAACAGCTGTTTCTTGTGGCCCTCACTCGGACACAAAATGAAACATCTATGGTGGTACGGCGGTGTTAGCAATACTGAAAGGATTCTTTAGTAAAATAGTGGATGCTGGTTGGTCGATCAACATCAGTAAAGTCATGATGTCACATTTATTTATTTTGACCATGACACAGTAGGTTACATTGTTTCTTTCCTGCATTTCTTTTTTTCTTTGTCATGAACACACATTGGGTCATTCTGTGTTCATTCCTACGTGCATGCAGGATTTTTCTTTTTTTAACGTGCGTGTGCTGTTTGTTTTAGTGGTGCAAACATAAAAGATGTTTATTTAAATCATGCATGGTTATATTTTTTGTATTGTTTTGAGATTTTTTTTCACTTAAATTGAGAGTTTTCTGCAATACCATCTTCTTTTGTTTGAAAGCTGGCCTTGAGGTGGTCAGTGAGAACGCTTCACGGGATAATTGCCTCACGGTTTCTGTTTCAGACTCCTCCCCAGCTCACGGAGAAAGCCAGGATGAAGTGTTGAGGAGGCGTCATGGGGACAAAGAGGTGAATTTTCTTCAACTTTAATCCAAACTTTCATAACTGATGCCTCTCAGTGCAAAATTCATGAATTAACCCTCTGAACACAAATACTTTGATAAAGATTATTGTGAAACATGAGTCTAACATGAGCCTAACAAAGGATCTGTGAATAAAAGAGTAGAGACCCATATCTGGAGGGTGCAAACAGTTCAGTCTGGTTTCCTGGCAGAAAATCTTGGAGGAGCAGCGGCGGCTGAAGCGGGAACAGGAAGAGGCTGACACAGCATCGAGGCGACACACGAGCATTGTCCCCACACACCACCAGTTCATCACCAACGAGCGCTTTGGAGACCTGCTTAACATCACAGATAACACAGAGAAAAGGAAATCGGGCATAGAGGTACAATACACGGCAGTGTCTTATCCTTGTGTAAGCAGGAAGAAAGACGGCAGATGCTTTGTCACTTTGTGAGTCAGGCTGTGGGGGGAGGTCTCTGCAGGCACAGATGGCTTTTCCACTCCTGGTCAAAAATTCATGATAGAAAGGAACATTTGACCTGTTTATCACTGGAATATTTCCCATATACATTTTGATTCAAGTTGCAGAGTGGACTCTGTTTACCAGCTATACGTCCAGAGTGGCAGGGCATGCATGCTGTTTTGCACATTACACACAATAGCTTCTAACTGAGCATGCCCCCGAGGTCAAGTCATCCTTTCAGTCGCAAACATATCATTCTTCCCATTGCTAGAATATTTATGTTCAGAGAGGCCAGTGCAGATTTACAGCTAACAACAAATTCCAGGAAAAGCTTTTCTTAGCGCACAGAAATGCCAAAGCCCAGAGAGCGTAGTAGCCAAAAAGAACAAAGATGGAGGCATTTAAGGTATTTAGCCTTCAGGGAAACTTTCACTCACTCAGTGCGATTCAGAGAATAACACTGGTGTAGCTGCTGCCAAATAGTAACAGTCACAGACGTTTATTTTTGTTTTTATATATCTACACAGAAAACGCCCGCCATGGCTCGCTTTGACTTCAGAGCAGAAACTCTAAAGTAAGTGGAAATTATGAGAATTTATATGTATATATTTTTTATAGAAAATGCCATAAATGCATTGAAGCTCAAAGCAGCAGCAAGGATAACACCACCAATGAGTTAAATATTTGCCTAGTGGACCTTAATTAAGTAATTTTTTCAACTTTTAATAAAGTAGTGCCAAAAAAAATGTAACAATCACAGAAAACTACCATTTGACCGTGAAGTGATGCTGTATATTCCACCCATGTGATCCTCAAAGCGTCTCAGTCTTGTTACACTATGAGAGGTTAATCTCTAAATGTGTGTTGGTTTTGTATTTTCAGGGAGCTGCCATTTCAGAAGGGAGACATTGTGTACATCATTCGACAAGTTGATCAGAACTGGTATGAAGGTGAACATCATGGAAGAGTTGGTATTTTCCCTCGAAGCTATGTTGAGGTATATTGCCTGTTAGTGTGTGTTATTTGTGACTCATAGTTCATATCTTTTTAAAGCATTTCAGAATCGATTCTTTTCACAATTTATGCCCTATTTTATATTCTTGGTTGGTCACATTTGGGTGTTTTGTCTGCTTGCACAGCTCCTCCCCCCCACAGAGAAAGCACAGCCAAAGAAAAGTGCCCCAGTGCAGGTGCTGGAATATGGAGAAGCTGTCGCCCGCTTTAACTTCACTGGGGACACAGTTGTGGAAATGTCCTTCAGAAAGGTGTGACTTAATAAGAGTTATTATAAACTATTAACTAGCGGGTTTTTATTCCCTTTCTCTTTTAATCCAAACAAGGATTTTTTAAAACCCTGATTAGTGGATCTGCCTGTGTGTGTTCAGGGAGAGAGGATTACACTGATTCGCAGAGTTGACGAGAACTGGTATGAGGGCAAAATTTCAGGCACCAATCGTCAAGGCATTTTCCCCGTCACCTATGTAGAAGTTCACAAACGACCACGGGTCAAAAACGGGGTGGAGTACCCGGATCCACCTGTCAGCCATTCACCTCAGCGCAGCACCAATGCTTCACCACAGGTAGGGACTCAAACACACTGATCACTGAGCAATTTCTCTTACCACCACCTCTGTGTGCTTTTAATATCCAAAAATGATTTTCCTTCTACACACACCTCGACGCCCACCTTTTAATTTGTGTTGTGTAGAGATTTTGTCACATCTTTCATTTGCTTTTTCTTTCTCTTACCCCTCTTCCTCTCTCTGTCTCCATCATGCCCTAAAAAGCTGTACCGTAATCATCTGACCACCTCCCCTCTGCCTCTCCCTCGCTCCCCCCGCCGCTCCGTGTCCCCTGAGGTACATGCTGTCTCCTCTGAGTGGATCTCCCTGACTGTGGGAGGTGGGAGTCCCCCTGCGGCTCCCACTCCTCCGCTGCCACCACTGCCCACTGTGTCATACCGTTGGGGCGAATACCTGCCCCCACCTTTCTCTGCCAGCCCCGTGCCTCCCATCACTGGCAGCCCATACTGCGTCTCCCCCATGGCCTCCCCATCCGCCTCCCCTCTACCCCCGCCTTACCCACCCAGACCCAACTCGACCACCCCCTCCCTCACATTTACCCCACCTCAAGGGGAGGACTTCCTGCTCTCTCCTTCCTCCCCACATGTGTCACGTAGTGTGAGCCCCAGCAGTGGGCCGGTGCTGGAGTGCTGGCTGAGGGGGGAGAAGGAATTGACAGAGGGGGAAGGCGCAGAGGGGGACAGGGGCCGCGCAGGCCCGGGCAGCAGGCGAAATAGCCCTGCAGAGGTATCTTCTGCATGGTGTGTGGTGTTGCATCTGAAGTTCACTCTGGAACACAGGCTTATGCCACAGTTTGAGACATTAAAGTAGATTTTCTCGAGTACTGACGCAGACATTTTTGTGGAGAACTAACTGGTAGATCTGACCTGAAGGTGATTTTAGCCAATAGCTGGTTTCAGTTTTAAAGACAGTAACTGAACTGGTCACTTTGCTTACATATGCAAGTCTGCATGGTGTTGTGTGTGAGCCACTAATATGCAAATGGTTTACTGTGTTTGAGTGCTTATGTATTAAGTCTTAGATTTCCTAGCTGCAGAGAGCTGTAAGACAAGTGTGTTTGCATTTCCAGGGTTGATCTGCAATAATAATAAGTTCTGATTTTTATACTGTAAATTTCAGCGTACAGATGCATGTTGTTGTTCCGTGCACAAGCTTGACAAGTGAGATGCTTCTGTTGGTTGGACGTTTTTTTGTTTGGACAGTGACAAGCTGCCGTGAAGCTGAAATATCCACCTGCAGGAAACTTGACTCACGCTGGAGTTTGATCATATTCGCAGCACGTTGATATGCAGTGCAAGGCTTTCATTTTGAATTCCTTTTTTTGTGTTACAGTTTGTAAAAAATGAGGCCGACCATCATGGACGAAGCACCAGAAGCCCTGTGATGCTGTTTGATATCCAAGATAACAACAATGTTAACTCGTTTGCGGTAAGGTGATAGAAAGTGTTCCTGAACCTCTGTTAAAGGTTTACAAAGAGCATGTGTAGTTTGCTACCTGACTTCATCTTGTGCCATCCTAAACATACCACCTTAACAGATCCATTTGACTCACAGCACCTTGAACTCCCATACATATTAGACGTATGATATAACAGCAGTTCAACTTACTCTCCTGCTGAAGTTATAGTTAAATATCAATCATTTTGCAGCTGACGAAGCCGCTATAGCTAGCTTAGCATAAATACCAAAAAAATGGGGAAATGAAATGTATCCAGAGCTGATAAAATTCTCCACCAGCATCTCTAAAGCACAGTTATTGTTCTAATATGTAGTCTTTATGTCAAAATTTAAAATGCAGCATGGCCGATCAAAACACAGATGAGTTTTTTTTTTAAGAAAATTATGTGAAGCTACTCTTAAATTACTGTTTGGCTTTATCATTAAGTATAAGCCTGAGCCTTTAAGTTGTCAAGCTAAGCTAACAGGCTACCGACTTGAGCTGTATATTGAATGTACATCAGTCTGCTCACAGAGCTTTTAGCAGCAAAGAGGTTATTTTGTTCCTTCAAGCTGAATCTGTCAGCCCACCTTTAATACTGCGTGCACTTACTGCCTTATATCCTGTACAACTGAACTAATATTTCATGTTTCCTGTCTACATGCTTCTACTGGTGACCTTCCATTTCATGCCTCTTCTCCCGGGTTGGGCCAACACCCCCTCTACCTTTTCTCCTGGCTTTTAACGGATCACATCCTTTTCTGTCTTGCTACTCACCGGACCTACCTTCCTGTCTTGCACTTTACCTCCCCTTCTCTAACTCTTCACCTCCCCTCCTCACCTTCACCTCGGCCTCCTCCGGGACTCTCGGTGGGCCGGGTCTCTCTCTCTTTTCTGACGACTTCACCTACTACTACTACTACTAGGAGGCAGTGTGTAATGAGATCTTGAATATAGCTGAGACCTCGGTGAGGTACTGCAGCACCCTGTCCCACCACCATAATGACTCTCTTCATAGACTGCACCCCCACCCCAGTAAACAATCTCTCATCATTTCCCAGCAACCCCAGTCACACAGCAGCAGCCCGGAGCCGAACCGTCTGAACTGTGGAATGTGAGTAAGATCTGTTTCACGTTTCAGACTCTTATTAATATTCTAGGTAAAGACAGACCTTTGCTGATTTCACACTTTGTGTCTTCCCTGCTTCATGCCGCTCCAGATTTCAGGCTTTGTACAGCTACGTGCCGCAAAACGACGACGAGCTGGAGCTGCAGGAGGGAGATCTCGTCAGCGTCATGGAGAAGTGCGATGACGGCTGGTTCGTTGGTATGTGTCACAGGCCTAGATTCCTCAGAGATGCGGTCACACTCGGTGTGTCACATTAATCTATATAGGGTTTCTGCAAAATGCCAAAAAAGGACTGCACGCGTGCAATGTGCAGGCTCAGGGTTCTTTCAGCGTGTCATCTCCTTCATATATAGAGTTTCTAAAGAATGACAGCAGAGGATTGAGTGCAGTGTGCATGCTCAGGTCCTGTACAGAATTTTAAATAAAGCTCAAAGGGGTTATTTTGGTACTAACACTGAGGTCATGTAAGCATTAAATCTGAGAAAGAATCTGATCAATGTTCATCTTTCTTTTCCTCCACAGGTACATCAAAGCGGACAAAACAGTTTGGGACTTTCCCGGGGAATTACGTGAAGGAGGTGAAACTGTAAAGCTATCTAATCTGGCTGTAACACACGGTTGCCTGTCAAGCTTGGGAAGTCATAACTACCGCGCATGGCTGTTGGTTAGAATAGTCATTTAGCCGGGCGAATATTTTTATCTGGGAAAGTGATCAGATCGGCTCGAGGTATGTCAAACTGCACGAGGCGAAGACGGGGACAGCTCACTGCCCAAACACCTCCATCACATTTTACGCACGTCTCCACAGAAGTCATCGGTCTCCATACGTGGAATTTCTCTGTGAAAGCCTCCTGCAAATTAGCTTTTCGACGTACACGTAATAGCTTTTATTGTGTGTGTGTAATTTTACAGTATGCAAGAGTTTGCGTAGCACCTCAGTCTAGAGGCAGGCAGCAGAGCAGTGTATGGATAAAAGGAGTGGATCTTATTACCTGAACTGGACCTGGGGAGGCGTCAGAATGTGTTTTGATCTTTCAGGGCCAGAGGTGTTTAACACCGCTGGCAAAGTATGATGTAAATCAGGTATCGTGAATGAAATTGATTCGATTTAGCTACTTAAAGAAAACCTGTAATATGATCAGATCACTCTATGACTCTGTTAACCAGACAGTTCCCTTAAAAAAAACAGCTTAAAGTCAGTGCCCTCGGTACTTTAAATACTTAAAGCCTTATGTAAAATGACCCTTTTTAAAATATTAAACTATTTTCCTCCACATTTTCTGAATCATCAGAAAAGTCAGTATTTGCCTCACAGCATTCACAACTCATTGTAGCCCAAGTGTGTTACATTGAATACAGTATTGTCTTCATTCTCTATCCAAAGGTTGCTACAGAGAAGTTATTAACAGCCGTGTGCATGAGTAGAAACTGTAAAATGTTGATGTGTGCTGCTGGCTTCTCTTTTTCTCAGTTTCCACTGCAAACACATATTACAGGACACGCAGATTTTATTGCATGTGTCATAAAAGTGAAACAAAAACTGTGTATATGCACATCCTATATTTTGTATATTTTAAAACTGTGTTTGCTGATTATTGATGCCTTTAAGGTAGCCGGTGGTAGACGCCTAGCTTCAGAGCAACCACAGGACAGGCGTGGTAGCACTTAACTTCCTGTTTGGTCATTTAGGAAGATCCCTCCTAACAGTGTAATAGCACTGATGACCTAAAACTCTTTCAAGTTTTAAGTCAAAGCCAACAAGGTGTCTTAGTAAATAATCACAGTGATTTTTTTTTAGAGCATATTGAGATTTTAACTGTGCCCTTACTGACATGATTGTATATGTAAATGCGTACAGAGAACTGTATACGTACGGCTGCACATTTTCATTCATAATGACTACAGTTGTAAGGTCAGCATTAATACAGCATGCACTATAAGATCATTGAGAGACTGACAAATCACACTGGAGCATGAAACACTATCAGCCAGCCAACACCCTAATAATTGCACTTTTAACTTAAAGAAAACAGAAGTAATGACGCGGTGAACGCCGCTTTTTTTTAGCCTTTAATGGCCGATAGCCGATGGAAGATTGCTTTGATCTCCGCTACCAAAGCATCAGAGCCGTCTTCCTGCAAATACGGAGCGCCCACATCTCCAGCGCCATCAGATCCGGTAACGTGTCAGAATAGATCCTACACACACAAACACACGAGCGCCCTCACATCATCAGTGTCTGCGCCGTGCAGAGCTTTCGGGTAGTGTGTCCAAAAAAACCCTTAGTGCTTGTTATGACCTGCTCGGAGCAGCAGACGGGGGTAGTTCGTTGCGCAATTGCTAAAGAAGTATTTTTATCTAATCGTACTTTATGTTGGGAAGATTGATGGTAGTGAGCAGTGGAACTCAGAGAAGCGCTGTCATCACCTTCTTATCCAAAAACTCAAATTAAAGGGCCTACAGTGTAGCTGTTTATGAACACACAAAATCTGAAGGATAAGCTGAAGTATAGAAACATAAGACAGATAAGACTTATTAGATCTAGAAGCGTATGTCGACAGTGTCTTTGTTTTTTGCACCATGATGTGTTAGCTACAGTTGTGCATGTGGCCACCACGTAGGTCATATCTGAACTTTATTAATTGATGGAGTACATTCATTTAAGCCAGGTCAGTACAATCAGTGTTTCCTGTGAGATTGGGTTTTTCTTCCTGTGCAGATCACAACCGCTACTTTGCCAACATCAGCAAAAGAATGTTTTCCCAGCGAGATATCACACGGAATATATTACACTGCAGTGTGGGTTTGCCTTTTTATCACACTGTTTTTAATGTCCAGGCATTTCATTTTATCACAAAAGCGTGTTTTGTTTTTTATTTTACCTCCGCCTCTGTAACTCCAGCTCTTCATGAAAGTGTTGATTAGTCGGGAGTCTGCTGAGCTGTCGCCTTTCGAAATGAATCCTGTTGCGACGTAGAGAGGTTTGCTCCTTCTCAGACACACTGCACGATGGGCAAATAATCACTCGTTTAGTGACAAAACAATTGGCAATAGATTGTTTCTGTGATTTTTGTCCGTAAAACGTCACGGGATGTATGAATGTATGAATATATGAATGTGTTGCAGGCAGTGTAAACATGTAAAAAAACAAAAGAACGTGTGAAACGTTATTGAACAGTTCGGCAAATGAAGGATTGTAAATATGTAAAATAAAAAATAGACTGCGAGCAATAGGAGCGTCAGATTGAACTCTCTGTCACTTGCAGTGGTTTATTTTGCCTGAAGGATTTTTTTGTTTTGTTTTATTGGCAAAGCACAGAGTGGAGCGTTACTGAGCACAGAAAGATTAAACATTACGCTGCCATTTGTGAGGATCATGTTGCCTTATGTTTGAAAAATTGTGCCTCATTTTCTTTTTTTCAGTATCACTGAAATGTATCCATGACGTATTTTGTGTAACCCTGATTTTCCCCATTTGTTCGAGTCTCTGTGGCGGGAGAACATTTACTAAGAACTTGTCTGTTACTGTACAAGAACCTAAAAGTGTGACATAACGCTTCGACATGATTAACACTCATGAAAAACGGACGCACAGCCTGCAACAGGTTTGGTTTGTTTGCTTCAATTTGCAGTGCTGTTACATTGACAATATTAAAATAAAGATACTATACACTGCTGTGTTCGGTATTATGCAATATTTAATAAACCATTTAAACCATTGCATGTGTTGCCAGTTTTGTTTTTTGACAAAAATCTGAGGGGAAAAGTCCGTTTTTAGCATTGGCCAACTTGTTCCGGCTGTGTGAGCATGTGAGTTTTCATCCTGGCTCATTAGAAAGAGTGTTGGTTTAGAAAATGTAATAGACGAAAACCTGCAAAGACGAACAATGAATTCAGCACTGTATATTCAAGTGTTTAAAGTAAATTACTAACAGTATTTTAAGCACTTAAGTTGCCAAGTTAAATTGTTTTTCTGGACACAGGATCACCAGGGTCCTAAATATAGCACCAGCCACTTCACTTGGTACACCTCTTTGTCTAGTTAAAATAACTCTCTGATCAGCTGATCTCATAGCAGCAATTCAGTACATTTCGGGAAGGGGGCGTGTCAACTTGCTGAAGTTCAAACCAAGCATAAAAATGAGGAAGAAAGGTGATTTAATGACTGTGAATGTAGCATGGTCATGCCAGTCAGGCTCGTCTGAGCATTTCAGAAACTGCTGATCAGCTGGGATTTTCCAACACAGCCATCTCTGGGTTTGCAGAGAATGATCTGGAAAAAGGGAAAATCTCTGATTCAAATAATACTTTGTTACAACCAAAGGATGCAGAAGAGCATCTCTGAATACACATATCAAACCTTGAAGCAGATGTGCTACAGCAGCGGAAGACCCCACTGCTGACAGTTAAAAACAGGAAACTGAAAAACTACAGTGTACATCTTCTGATGGTTCTTTCCAGCAAGATAATGCCCTGGTGCCCTAAAGCTTAAATCATTTCAAACTGGTTTCTTGAACATGTCAGTGAGTTCAATCTAATAGAGCACCTTGGGAATGTAGTGGAACGGGAGATTTGCATGATGTAAACTGTGTGATGTTATCATGTGAGCGTGGACCAGAATCTGAAGAATGCTTCCAGCACCTTGTTGAATCTGTGCCAGATGAAGGCCAACCCAGTATGAGCAAGGTGTAACTAATGAAGTGGCCGGTGGGTGTGGGGGTTATGTTTGGTTTGTTTGTTTGTTTGTTTTGAAAAAGCAGATCTTCAAACTTTGCCTACAAGACAGGTTCGAAGGGGAGCTGTTCACCTCTGGACTGCTGAACGTCAGCTGTGTTATCTGATGATCATTTCTGATGTAGTGCAGTGTTGTGGCTGCACTCAGGAAAGTGGGTGAATGCTGTTGGGTGAAATGAAGCAATAAATGTCAGACTCCTGTAATCACAGTGAACAAATGCTAAAAGCCGCTCAGAGTCCTGCTGACAGAACAGCCAGAAGCACTTGATCCATATCCACTTGAACTGATAACAGCGTCACTTTAAAACAGGCTCACAGACTTTTTGGCATACCTAACATTACAAAGCAAAACCCACAAGAAAGGACGTGTTTCATTCAGTTTGGCCGCCTTGCCCCCCCCCCTTTATTTTTTTCCTCCACTTTCAGCAGAGGCCCTCTGGCAGGAATTCAGTTTTTGGGAGCGGCACATTCCACATCCTGGGATTTAGCTCTACCATAAATGGTAAGTTTGCACATAACACGGTGACGCAAGGGCAGGCCGACGTCTCTAAAACGAACTGAAGCTCTTGTGAGAGGTCCAAAACACGAAGAGGTACCACTCTGCTCTGCTTTCAGAGAAACGTCCTTTCATTAAAAATAATGTGGTCATCGCAAAGTTGCACTTTTTTGTTGTTTAATATCAGTTTAATAATAATGAAAAATTAAATTAAAAGCAAAGAATGTTTAATTTATTCCCCTTCTTTGGCCAAACTTCACAGTGTATGATGCAAAATCTTTGATATTATTTTGTGTTTTAATACTTGCCATCAATTGTGGTTCTCTTATTTGTACATCCAGGCATCAGTACCAAGAATCAGCAGTAAATTGTCACCTTAGGTGTTGTAGCTGACCAAATGCAATGATAATACTTTACAGTACTGTATTATCAACCTTCGCTGAATGGGAGGATTGGCAGTGTCCTGCAATTTCATATGATGTTATTCTGAATTACTTTGTGCATCTTCTCGGTAACACAGGAACTACAGCACTTCTGAGTTGTATCAGTATCTTCACAGTGTTACGCAATCATTCACCACGAGGATGAAAATTAAATGGTGTTTTTTTTAAAGTGAGCAATCAGGCCGATCAGTTCGTCAAGCCGCAGAGCATGAGTTGGCAAAGTGCTTCACATCTTCCTCATTATTCTGAGGAAACACTACAAGTTCCTCCAAAAGAGGGTCTCAGTTATGTTCAACAACACAAAGTTCCTGCCTGAACACCTTTAGCTTCCAGCTTCTAGGTTAACGCAGCAGCATTTCATGGACACAGTGAGGCTGTGGCCTTCCAGTGGTTAAACTGCTTTGGTGTGCACAAAAGCACAGCTGTCATCATACAATGTAATGCTTTTCTAGCATTGCTGACCACTCAAAGTGTTTTAGACTTTGATTTGTTTTATTCCACACACTGTAAACACCTTATCGAGCCCTCACCAATAGCCCGGTTAGAATCACCAGTTAACATGCATGTCTTTGGACAGGGGAGAAAGCAAGAGCACCAGAGAAATTAAACGAAAGGCCCTAAAAGGCCAGCTGAATTTAAAGGAGTTCCTGGAGATCAAGCAATCTCCGTTGGAAAGAAGCTGCTGTCCGTGGGGTCTCTTCAGAAGTAATCGTTCTGATGTGATGATAACAAATGGGTCACCATAGCTACTGCAGTGGAGCTGCTTAATATAAAAATTAATTTCTTCTCCTTACTGCTAGTAAAGGAAGATTAGACCACTGTGATTTAAGTTAGTGTTTTCTTTCAATAAGGAAATTGTATGGTACTGATATTTAGAGGTGTGATTTATTCATGAACTGTATTTGGATAGTCATCAATTAACATTTTCCGCTGGGATAGACTCCCGATTTGGATGAGCCGAAGATTAAGGGTGGATGTATGTGCCAATAAAGAACAATAAATAAAAAAAACAGAGAGATTAATCACATTTATTTATGTACATCAACAAAAAAAAAATGTAATTCAAGACACAACGAGCATTAAAAAATGCAAGTTATAGGATAAAGATCTTTGAAGTATTCACCCGTCTGCCTATACATGCATATGAATTTGAGTGGCAACCCACTCTTAATTCATAGGGTTTAAATATGATGTCAGCCCACCCTTCACATTATAATAGCTTCAGCTCTTCTGGGAAGTCTTTCCTCAAGTTTTACACATTTATGGGAATTTCTGACCATCATTCCAGATGCACATTTGTGAATTCAGACACTAGCGTTAAACGAAAAAGCCACAGTCTCTGCTCTAATTCATCCCAAAGGTGTTTTTTTGGATTGAGATCAGGACTCTGTGCAGGCAAATTACACTATGCACAGTGCAGTCAGACAAATACCGTTCTCCTGGAAACCGCCATACCCAGACTTGTCCATTGGATTGCCAGATGGAGAAGTGTGATTCGTCACTCCAGAAAACATGTTTCCACTGGTCAGTGAAGGCGTGCTTTACAACCACCGCATCCAACTCTTTGCATTGCACTTGGTGGATGTACCTGCTCGGCTATGGAAACCCATTTCTGGTGAACTTGGCCCATTTGTCAACCAATCAGCAGCATCATCCATGACAAGCAATGTGTAGTTGGGATATTACAGGGGAACGTGTTTACACTGGCACGTTTGCCCCTCTGTAGACTCTATATGCTTCATTTACGTTACCACGGTTGTGTCCATACACATCTGCCTGGCCTGTTCAGTACCGTCCTTGCCTCTTCCTCTGTAGCATTGGAAGGATGCAGTCACTGAATTGGGACCAAGCTATAGCATGCTTCAGTGCTTCACATCGGCACTCTTAAAAAAATAAACAAACTCCAACACAAGTAAAAATTCCAAAAGGGCTAAGCTGTGCAGACATCCACGTGCCTGCCTGTTTTTGCGACCACGTGGACTCGTCTGCAGAGACTTCAAAGAAAGGTAACAGGATTTACTAGTCTGCAGGAGGTGTTTCCAGCTGCCCATGTCTCAGTATAATCAAGGCTTAAAGTGACAAGATAAAAACATAATTAACAAGAATTAATAACAACTACAGATGTAATCAAATTAGTGACTTCTTATAGTATTTTTTTCCTCTAAATGTTTTCTTTGCCATCATTTTTCTTCTGCATTTATGAAGAATTGACCCTTCTAATCCTCATCCTCTGCTTGTGTTTTGGATCCATCATGCTCGACAAATGTGGGCGCTATAAGTGTGCAGGGTGTGCTTCAGAGTGACACAAGCAAAGTGTTGAAGCCCAGTCAGGATGTGATTCATCCATCACATATGGTGGTTCACCTTCAAGCAGACATGCTGACTTTAGCAGTCCTTACAGAAACACATCCAAAACGAAACAACTTACTCCCAGTCCAGCGCAGATTCAGTCTTCACATGCTTCTTTTAACCTTAGCAGCAATACTAAAGACACCCTTGCACATTCAACACCAGACCAGTACCAGGAAAAGTTTGATTTTAATAATCACAACAATGTAAAGTGACTTGGTTGAGCTTTAACTGCTCCAGGCAGAATTACAGGCTCAAACATGCATTCTCTTTATCACACCAGCATTACTAATGCAGCCATTAGCAGTGCAAAGATTGTGAATCCTGAAATCACTTACACGTCATGCTCAAGTCTAACCATGTCTGTGTAGATTCTCAGTCATCCAGGTCATGTTGGTCTTGAGAGCTTGTCTTTTTTTAAGTTTGTGAAGACGTTTCGGCCCTCATACAAGACATTTCTTCTGTTCTAAAAACAAAAGGTGGAGTTTCCCAAGCATTTAACCCATAAAGGCAGCGTCCTCTTTGGAGGTGGTCCTGAAGGACCCATATTGATCATGTGAATTGTGTGGAGAAAGGCGTGGGTCATTGCCATCACTGGGGGTTGAAACCAGGTTTACCTTGAAAATATTATGTTAATCTTAAACGACTTCATGGTTAAATAAAATAAAGATTAAACAAACAAATAAATAAGGGTGAAACAACTGTGAGAGCTTGCCCCACCCTATCGAGGTCACCTAGGGCAAGGTGTGAGTTGAAGCCCTGGGAAGGGACCCTGATAACTAGTGTCATAAGCCACACAACAGTATTTTCATTGCTTCAGATTTTCTTAATAAGATAAACACGTGACGAAGAAAATGATGGCCACTACTCAGTCGCCACTACTCACCCAGTATGGTGGCTTAATCCCACAATTCTGCACGTCAGTGGCGTATGCGCGAGTACACAGATGTACGCGAGTGATCCATCTTCTTCATACACGATCTTCGGTCTCACTTATCAGGGAGGAAACTTCAAAATCTATTCGTCCAACTGTAATCCGAGGGTCCTCCCCCTTCACTAATGCGGTGGAGTTGCAGTCAGCCTCAAACTTTTGACCATTGATTACTCCACGTCATATTGCAGTAGGAAGGGAAGCAGAGGTCTGAGGCAGCTCCTTTACCACCGTCGGCTCTGTTTCCAAACTTTCACACCATGCCTCTCCGTGTGGCGTTGCAGGGTCCCGGCCCCTGGGGGTTCAGGCTGGTTGGAGGAAAGGACTTCGAGCAGCCACTGGCTATTTCCCGGGTAAGTTCGTTTTACTGTTAGTTTCTCCCCCGCATTTCAGTGTAACCGCACCTGGACTCTCACCTCTCATTGTTTCCCCGCGACTTTACTGAAGGCTCGTTGACGATTAACGGTTAGCTTGTGTTAACCGGAGGGCTAACGAACGGCTAAACTAGCGTTAGCTTTCTCAGTTTATTGTAATTAAAAGTTAAGTTAGCGGCAATTTTTGCTAGTGCTACCTCAAAGAGCAAACGCGGTGGTCCGTGGACCCCACTTAATATTTAAAAACATACATTTTTATGTAAGGTAAAATATATTTTTGCTGATGAATTGTGATTTTTATGTATCCTTTTCAGTCTCTAACTGAGAGTTAAAGCTACTTTAAAACAGTAGTTTTATAATAGCCGAACCAGAAATGCACTAGTCCCAAACAATGGTTGTCATATTTTGTCTATACAGAATTTACTTAAGATTTAAAGCGTGATTTTAAAAGTTTAAACTCCATGCTTTGACATCACTGAGTGACCATGGACCCATCGGAGCCTCTTTGTCATGCGCTGACAGCTGACACACCTCACTGGTGTTCATTAGCGCTAAGATTTTATTAATCTTCATACAGGGTGCTGCTCTGGTGGCAGTAATGAACCGGATTATAGCTAGCAAAGCACTCCTCTGAGCCTACACTGCATTTTTCCCCTCTTGTGAAGGTTATTACTGTGGTCAGGCCACCCCACCCATGGAAAAGTGATTAGGAATTCCTGGACTGTACTGGTCCCTCTCCCTGCTCTAGGCCTTTATCTCAGATAGAGAATCTGGGCTCCAGGAAGCTTTTATCCTGACTCTGCAAGTGCCTTCGCTTCTGTTTACTGTTAACAAAGACAGCTGCTTAAAGGTTCTTGAAGGTCAGGTTTAAAACAATGGCACTCTCCTCTTTTGACTTGGAAGCCTTTAGGCTGTAATTAGAAGGTGCATTTTCCATATATTTGTAATTATGGTGCACAAGTGGCTTCTAATTTTATAATTTCTATGTCCTGTGTTGTAGGTCAACCCCGGAAGTAAAGCAGCCCAAGCAAATCTATGCATCGGGGATATAATTCTTTCCATCGATGGAGAACCAACAGAGAACATGACTCACTTGGAGGCGCAGAACAAGATAAAGGGCTGCATAGAGGAAATGGTGCTCTCCGTAGACAGGTAAGCTGTGTCTAAATGTGCCATTCTCATCTGCATAGCCATAGGCTCAGAGAAAAAGAGTGAGTAATGTGAGACGGCTCAGCTGCAATCCAGGTGTTCAGCGAGTGACATCATGTTTATTCAGTGATTTTTAAACAGCAGTTCTGTTTGTTTTACTGGTTTTTACCATGTTGCAATCCCGCATCGCTCTGTTGTGTCATCTTGTAAATTACTCATGACTGATGACTTTTGAGGAGTCGTATCAAAAGGGCTTTGAAAGACGGTTGGAACCACATATGTTTGCTCCCATTAAGCGATGTCATATTGAATGCATGAAAGGACGGGCTTAACTGCAAGATAAACAAGAACATGAGCATGCCTGCAAGGGCTCTGTTGCATTCAAAGACACAGCCCTAATATTGCGTTCACGTGCTGATACACAGGAACACGCGGGCGATCCTGGCATTTTATATTACTGAATCCTCAGATCATCTTTCAAGCCTTATTTTGCCTTCCTGTCTTCCTCAGGTCAGAAACAAAACTGTGGTCGCCGCTGTCATCTGAAGAGGGGAAGACGCATCCCTACAAGATGAATCTTGCGTCAGAACCACGGGTGTGTGTCAGCATCAAAGCTGTATGAACTTTAACAAAGTGACTCCTCCAGCTTTTTTATTTAGAGTGAAATCGAGTAGCCGTTCAGTTTCTGGAAGCCAGAGTGCTGCCCTCCCCATGCCTGCAAAGGCTTGGGGATTTTTTTTATTTTTATCTAAATTTATATCCTACTACTGTTCATGATGAAGTCATTGTTTACTTACCAACAGGAGGTTTCCTAGGAGACAGTAGTTTATCAGCCAAGCCCTGACGCAAGCCTCAGTTCCTGCCCGCTGAGTGGAAAGTTGAGGCCAAAGTATGAATTCATGTAGGAAACGGTGTCTCAGGCCCTGTGTATGTGTGTGTGTTTCACAAGTCACAAAACTAGAGTTTTGGGGGTTTTTTGTTTCTCCCACGCACATATTAACACATATTTCAAGCACTTCTCTAGAATCTGTTGCTTCACTCTTTTGTTTTATGTAAGTATTGTCAGCTCCTTTGCGCAAGTCATCTTGCTCGCAGAGACTCAGGGAGATTTTGCACTTTTAGAAGCTTGAAGCATGAGCTATATTTGGAGGCATTTCCGTGTTCCCACTGTGAAGCATGAGCTAGTTTTGGTGGTATTTGTATGCCCACTGTGATGGCATGCCAGTGTCATGACGCATCTGTCGTTAAAGTTAGCCACGTAGGTATAATTAAGGCAGAGTCCACAGTCATTATCCTGCTAAATTATGTGTGACTTTGTATCAGACTGGAAGCTGCTTTAAAAAGACAGAACCGCTTAAAGTTTCCAAGTCTGTTTTCAAGAAAAATGTTATTGAAAGTGAAGCTTAAAACACAATAGGCCAGTCACTTTCAAACCTTAAGCAATATTTCTAACCCACTTAGCAAACACTGCATGTTTGTACATGCGCAATTAAGGAAAAAAACTTTTATAGCTCATCAGGTGTGCACAGAGAGTATTGCTTGTTTCAATTACGCTTGAATTTCATATATATTGCACTCTCCTAACTTTTGCAGCTTGGTTTTTGCAGGAGGTGAAACACATAGGCTCGACCCACAACAGGAGCGCCCTGCCTTTCACTGGTTTCGGCTCCAAAGTGGTGACTAACCAGTACAATAATCCATCTGGGCTGTACTCTTCAGAGAATATCAAGGACTTCAACTCAGCTGTGGATGAAGTCAAGACCATTACTACGGCTAATGACCCCCCCAACAAGTAAGATGGGCTTAAGTGATGGCAATCAATCAGTATTGAAAATGTGAGTGAGTTTAGCTGGGCTCTGCTTGGGTCACAGAGTAAATAATCGTTGTGGGCAGTAGACTCAGTAAATCGTGGCTCAAATTCAGAATGTTTCCATTTAATTGAAAAATGAATTTGTATGCATCTTCCTTTTTGATTTGCTCGGTTGTTTGGATACTCTGTGAAAGACTTTTATAGATCATTCTGCAAGCTTAGCTTTTCATTAAGTTGTTTTCCAAATACTCATTTTGAATTGGGGAAACTGGAACTGCGTTTGCTTTAGAGGATTACTTCAATACTGACATACACAAAACCTCTTAAACACACTGTGATTTATTTGAATCCTTTCTGGAGGAGAAGTACATGTGCACACTGTTTGGCTGTAACTGCTAACTGCAAGATTTACAGTAGCGGGCCAGCTCCCGAAAGGCTGCTGTGCTTCAACAAATCATTAAAGTGTGAATATTGCTTCCAAGCAGATGGAGCCAGTATTTACTAATCCAGTGACTTAAGAAAATGATGTCACTTAAGTCTATGTTAAAAACAAGTAAAACACAAGAGAAGGTTCATTCATTGGCGTTTTTTCATGCTGAATCAGCACTGATCTCCTGGGCTTTTACTGCCAGTCTGATTATGTATCAAAATACTCTTGCTGAATTTTTTTTTTTTTTTTTTTTTTTTTCCCCTTGCTGAAACGTGCCCAATTTCTTTCTAGTGCTCCATCAGAGCCATCAGGTAAGCGACCGCCCATAGTCGCAGATTCCGAAGTCTACAAGATGCTGCAGGAGAATCAGGAGTCTGACGAGCCTCCTCGACAGTCTGCTTCATTCAAGGTGCTTCAGGAGATTCTTGAGACAGGTACTGATACCATGCTTTTTCCATATACTTTAAGGGGCAATGTAGGATTTTTATATTGTATTTTTAAACAATGTTAGCTTTTTGGTAGACTGTTGTCTTTTAGTTCCAATCAAGATTTTCAGTCTATTCTTGGTGTTTGTAGGCGACTCGGATAAACCATCAGGCTTCAGGAGTGTGAAAGCGCCCACAACAAAGGTTGGAGCATCAGTGGGGAACACAGAGAAGTTACCCATGTGTGACAAATGTGGATCTGGGATTGTGTAAGTATTTTATGGTCAAGCTTGAACTCTGTAGGCCTCTAGATTGTGTTCATCTGAATCTAGCAGCACTTGGGAGAAATACTGTGTCTCCACCTTGTGGGCAAATGAAGTAACAACAACACACTTGTTTCCTAATTCCTGCTGCTGGGAGATATTTTAATTTTGCTTTTTTTATATTTTTAGAAAGGTTCATAAATGTTTTATTTTCCTTTCTTTAAGAGTATCCTTGAAAATCCTTACTCCATACAGATGTTTAGCACACTGTCCACACTGTCCCATCAGAAGATCTAAGTTTAGAAACTTCTACTTAAATCTGCCATGCCGAGGGTTTAGTATGGGGTTTACCAGGAACGGGTCTGCCCACGGGTTCACCAATGATGGCTTATAATATGCGTCTTTTTTAGCAATAGATTAATTGCTTTTGTTTCTTACCATTATTTTCAACGTGGTTGTGGATGTTAAAGCCAGATTATAAAATCCTAGTGTACAGAATACGACACCGAATCTTTTCTCCCACAGGGTCATTTCAGTCCTTTCCTTTTTGAGATACTGTACGAGAGTATCACTTCATTTTCTGACATTTTCATGTCTGTGCTGTTTTGGGAAGTGGGAACATGGAACGTGCCTGTAATGGCAAGCAAAACATTATAAATCAGGCCTAATTTCTGACTCAGACGTTTCCTGATGTTCATCTTTCTCCAAAACACCTTTGAGATCTAAAAGTAAATGTGTGTTTAGGTTTTCTAACTTGATCAGCTTGGCTCAGAAGATGCTCTTTCCTATAGACAGCGACCCTCACTGCCATTCTCACTTATTTTTGTTTTTATTTACACTTCAGAGGGATGGTTGTGAAGCTGAGGGACAAGTTCCGTCATCCCGAGTGCTACACCTGCACAGACTGCAACGTCAACCTAAAACAGAAGGGACATTTCTTTGTGGAGAACCAGATTTACTGTGAGACGCACGCCCGCGAGCGAGTGACTCCACCCGAGGGCTACGACGTGGTTACGGTCTTTCCCAAGTAGTTCCCCTCACTGAGCTCGGCCTCGGACTGCACGCCACCATAGGACACCAAGACATAAACCGAGACTTACAATATTTAGCTAATGCTACTCGTAAGACTATGAACTGGTCTCCTTTCACACTATACTTCAGTACTGTCACTGGTAGGCAGGACAGTAAGGAACTACGTGTTTGAAAATGTTGATTTGCACAAAAACTTTGGCCTATAAGAAAAACCAGTGAATACTGTAAGATAGCATTTCTTTTTTTCGTATCATTTAAAATAATTTGAATGACAGCCACTATGTTTTGATACTGTTTGTACATTTCAGCGTCTTTTGAATCATGGAAGCAAAAGAAAGCCAGAATATTCCCATCCCTGTTAAAGGAAAAATATGTTTTCTACAGTTTTTATTGAATAAATAAACATTGTTTTATACAGCAAAATACATTTGAATATAATTGCCAAATAAATATTTTTTAGCTTGAACAAATTCTCTCATGTCGTCCTGGTTTATTAATTGTCCCTTGGTGCTCTTTTTCTTTTCTTTTAGTGACACTGATTGTAGGGTTGCAAATATTAGGGGTGCCACATGATCATTAAATTGCTTTCAAACACAAAGAATGATTTGAATGACAGTTGTGGCTTCAGAAAGTCTTTTTTTTTCCCCTTTTTAAAAAAAAAACAAAACAAACTTTAATTGCTTTTTAAGAATAAACACTGAACATGGGAAACTAATGTCTTTGGACCTGGTCTTAAGCGTAACCTCGCTAAAGCGGATGGGGAACTGCTGCTTGCACCCAAATGTCTTTATGTGAGATGGAGCGGTATAGAGAGTCAAAAGTGCCACATACTCGTCAGGTCATTGTCAGCACACAGGGACTTGAAACAAAAGGTAACGGGGATGGCGCTGAATTCCTCTCCTGGGAAGATTCTGCAGCTCATCTCATTAACAGCGGTGAGAGAGCTTCTGTGGCTAAAGTCAGCATTGGTCCCATAACCACATTCTGAAGGTGATGCTGAGTCCCATTCGGCAGATAAAACGCTTGCCGGGCTGCTCAGATCTGATGCCAGATAGTCCTGAGTGTGTGCGTGCTGGTCTGCCATCCGGAGAGTCTCGGTCAGAGCCCAGATGTAGTTGCGGGCAAATCGCAGAGTCTCGATCTTTGTTAGTTTCGCGTCTTCTGGCAAAGCCGGCAGGATGCTCCTCAGCGCGTCCAGGGCGGAGTTCAGATTATGCATGCGGTGGCGCTCTCTATCGTTCGCCTTCATCCTTCGCCTGCCCCGCTGCCCGGACTGCTCACATCTGTGTTTGGGGTTTTTCACTGAGGACACGTCTCGGGTAACAGTCGCTGGTTTTCGCTGGAGCTGTCCTCGTGAGTCTCCTGAAGTGTCACCGGCTTCGTTCACTCGGTTGCGCAGTGTTGGAGAAAACCCGCGCAGGGCGTCGGGGACGCAGATTACTTTAGGATACATCCTGTGTCGACGAAGAAGATGAAAATAATCAAAAGTGATGCCAATGAGACAGCTTGGCTATAAAGAGAAAAAGAAACTCCAAATGATGCCCTGAGATGTGCCACAAACCCTGGAAATCACGTTTCCCATTTTTTCTACGAGACTGAAACGTGTATCTACACCCTGAGTTCGTTAAATGCTTTAACTGATTAAAAATAACAACGCAACTGCACCAGTAACTGGAAATGAAATATCTGAAAAACATTAAAGGACATATTTTAAAAAATAAATAAATAAACTTCTGAGTGTAGTCGCACTTACGTTTGCAGGCCTACTCCTGACAGGCGAAGCTGGGATAAAGACGTAGTCCGCTCTTGTAGCTGGAGGCAGCAGACAGTGTATATGTGCAGGTGACAGTGAGGGATGGATGCGCATCTCTTGTCACTTTATATGGCCTTTATCTTATCTGTTTTTTGCACCGTGGACGCCTGAATCAACAGCGCTCGTCGAGTGGCCAATCAGCTTCCAGGCAGCGAGTCCTTCACCCTCTCCCTCATCCTTCAGTGTGCTTGCATTTCTTTGTGTATTCATTGTAATAGTTAATTAAATACATGTGGATGGCAAAGTGCCACGAATGTATGTCAGGCTAATAATACCCCTATTTTATGGACTAGGGTCATGTTTTTTTTCTTGGAGAAGGTAAACATTACGAGCCGATTTCCATAAGTCTGTCTGGGGGCAACAAACATGCAGCGTTCAGGATTGTGCTGGTCCTAAACTACCACTCTGGGAATCTTAATATATCTGTTTATTGCTTGTATTTATCATTATGCCAGCTATTCACTAATTTCCCTGTTTTGCTGGTCAAATGCTGGAGGTCCTGGTAGGAAAAGAAAACCAAAACATTTTGTGAGCTTTGCTTTGACCTCGGTTTAGTGAGGTCATGCGCTTGTTTCTGTCTAGTGAGATGCTGGTCTAGCAAAAAAAAAAAAAGCTTGACACGAGACACAATATGGATCTTGTATATATGATGTGATACTCGATTACAGATTACCTTTAATTCCCATTAAAGCTTTCAAGGCTAGCTGTCTTCATCTTTATTGTTATAGTAAATCATAATGTGTTTATGAAAAGACTTTCGCAATGGTTGAAAAGTAAGCAACGTTTAGTTTTATGCGCAAAAGGTGGAACCGTATTCAATATTTGTATTGTGTTTAATTAAATATCACTGTACACAAAGTTTTATTTTGGAAATATTATCTGATCTCTATCCATAAGAGGTACTTGTAATGCCACATTTTACGCACTCAAAACATCGGCACATGCCCTGCAGAGCACATTATTGCCAGACTGGCTTCTAAAATCAGCTCCATGTGCACCAGAGTACGCTAAAAACCGAGATGAAGAAGAAAATGCAAAAGTTCTCTGCAGTTATTATTTTATTATTGTTTATTGTTAAAGATTGAGAGACTCTTTGCGATTCTGCGCACATCACACTACCTGGTAAGGCGGACGTTAAAAGAACTTTAAGCTCCTACAAGTTGGTCCTTACTTATTGCTTCGATGAGTCTTTTTTAAAGATTATTTTACCTCTTTGTTAGCTCAGAAAACCTTACCTATATTAAACAACTGTTGTTTTTAAATGGCATATATTTGGATAAACATTTGCTTCTTGCCTTAGAGCGCAAAGCTCCGGTATTTGGATAAGACAATTACGCATGGAGCAAACTAAAAAAGGAGAGGTGGGAAGGTGAAATCCGCTGTGTAAATCGATGATACAAAGGGTCTTTTTGTGTTTCGCAACAATAAAAGCTCGTTTTCTTCTATAATGTGAGCCTGTGTCTGTGCGCTATGACATCTCCAAAAACTTGTCCAAGATCGCCACAATTCAGTGACGCGTTGCTATTTTCTAATAAAACTTTATTTTAACACATTAAAGATTAGAAAAAAGAGTCAACAGTGTGCAGATACGTTCTAGCCTGGGTAAGGGAGGAAAGGGAAGCGTGGCGGGGCTCAAGCATGATTTACAATTGCCAACAAAGGATCACAAAAAGCTCTCCTTAACTTTCTGTCTAAATATGTGTTTTGGGAACAATCTGATAACCATATGCTTTCAATAAACTGGACAAATATACTAGGGCGATAGGAGATGGTGCCTTGCTGTTATAAAAGGCCCGAAAAGTCTAAAGTAAACTGAATATTACCACTTTACAAATATTCATTGATGCCAAATCCATATTAGGATATCGTGGACAGGTGTGGGTTGAAGTTGTCAGTCTCTCTCCTTGATTTTTTATCAGTGTGCTGTAGTGTCCTGCTTGTTATGCAAAGTATAGGCAAACATAAGCGGCCAGTTGCTGTGGTAATGGTAGATATCGGAGCAGACTTGGTACGAAAAGTGATTTAACAATATTTAACAATAAACTAAGCAAGCTACCGAGCAGGTGATACCTGCCTGATGCTCCTGATTAATACTTCCTCTGCTACTTCACTTTACAGTCTCCTTTGCTTATTTATTAAACGAAATCTATTTATTATTATTTTAGCAAACAGAGGTACCAGGTGGGGCTTTATTTTCGTCTTCGGCTTTTTGTCTGAAGGACGTTTTGAGGGGGACAATCAAAGTCCAACAACTCGCTGACCAGATTGTTGTCATCCCAAACTAGCAGCGAAGCCATTCAATGTGCCCCCCTCCTCTTGTTCTTTCTAGCAAAGAGCTGCCGGGAGAGAAAAAAAGGAAAAGGAAACTTCTTCAAGAAAGGAAAAACATCTTAAAAACATTTAATTGCAACCCGGATGCCATATGTACACCTCTTGTGAGACCCCTCAACAATATGACTGCCTTTTAGAAAGTATGGAGTGCGCCTTTGGAGACGTGTGCGCTTTTGGAGAAGTGCGCGCGTCGTGACCAGCATGACCCCGAACACACTTTACACAAGAAGTAATTCACTTTTAATGTGCTTTGGAGTTTCCTTTCACAGGCAAGGCATTGTACCTCTCACCCCAGCTTTTGAAGACAGTGTACACCAATTATAGCGGAATAGGTGTCCTTTGGAGACAGTTTGTCTTTTTGTAAAGATTGGAGATTTTAAACACAAATAGGACGGTGGCTGCAAGTCGCCCCCTTTCACCCTCTAAACTACTACATAATGTTTTTTTCTTTGTTTCTGATAGCTTATTTGCGAAACCTCGTGTTCATTAGCGGCTCTTTGTAGATAAAAAAGAGCAAATGTTGAATTTTCAGCGAGGGGATGGATGGTAGCTTCAAGGGACATGTGACATTAAGGTTTTAATCAGTTATAAATGTTTGATTTAGACAGTAAAGATAACCTATTTATAAAAAGTTATTTCTGTTGGCGTTTTTAATTTATGAAGACTATTTTAGTCTTCTACAGAACACGTAAAGAAATATGGTGGATTTGCGCTTACCTGTCTGTCTGCTGGCAGGAACGTACCTGAATAAATCAAAAATATGATTTTATTTGCAGCGTTGTATATTAAGTAAGACAATAAAGAAATTATTTAATAAACTTGTAATTCAACAAACATATGTACTAATCGCCCAATTTCGTTCGCAACTCTAGTGAATCACAATGAACAGTTAACAAAAAAAGAAAGAAAAAAAAGTCAGTTCAGCTGAGTTGTTTGATGAAAGTAATACAATCTAAAGGGTGAAAGCTTCCATATCAAAATCCCAAACAATTGTAATTAGCCTAAAAGCACAATTCTGGAGAAGTTTTCAAACCTGTCATATTTCAGGTGTTTAATTTGGGTTATTCGTATACATCATAGTATATATGATATATACACATAGTAAGATGCATGTAAAAATTGACCCTGGCCAAGACTTTGTTCATAACAAGTGCCTATATTCAATTTTGAACAATAGATCTATTTAGAATATAAAAATTCCCATCGAACAGCAATAAATATATGATTGATCCTTAATGAGTGTTTCAGAAAGCAGGGGGAATCTATTTTACTGGTATTACAGCACTCATTTTTAGAGGAAATACATCTATTATCAGTAGTATCATATCTTCTTTTACTTAAGAAATGAAAAAAGAACAGTCATAATAACTCAAATATGTTTTATTGAAAGTGAAAACGGCGAGAACATCATTCTGGAACAATTATAAACATTTATAACCATTACATCCATTGAACACTCTGCTCAGTTCTGTATCATTAAAAAATATCATCACTATCGTCTATGATGATTGATATAAACATTTTTTTTAATAGTGTAACACTTAGAACACAAAACATAAAAGTTTCAGGTTTACCTCAGAACAGCCTCATTGCACAAGATTTGATAACACCTGTA